AATCATCATTATCATTGGTTTATCATTAGCTACGGTCACTACTATAACCCGTGACATTAGTCGTATCAATAATTTCATTCTCATGATTATTACTAACTATTATAACCCGTTAGCTAGGGCTTACGCTAACTAATATTACACGTTAGTCAGGGTCGTAGAACTAGTTCTGGTGTCGATGATCCCACTTCCCAGGGATATAAAAACGTAGCTATTATAAAATCATTCTTTAAACATAAATCATTTTCTCATTTCATTCATAAGCATAATCCATCGTTTATAAAAAGAAACGCAAAATAATCATATACTTGATCCTATTTTCATATATCAAAAATAAAACATTCTTTCATTTAGAAACACATATATATTCATAAATTCGAAAACAAGCAAAGTATGTGAGATTCTACTTAATTCCATTCGATTCCACCACTTAGTTTTTCTCCTAAAATAATTAATGGCCTATCCAAGATCATTTCAACATATCAGAATTTAATCAACCCTTTTTTAGACCATTTATACAAAAATCAACTAAGTTACACAAAGGGTTAGCTTAACTAATTAATACTAGTAGCCTGACCTCTTTTCATTAAAACTGTCATATCTCAATATATCCAAATCAAAATTATGATCTCTTTAATGCGTTAGAAACTAGACTTGATAAGCTTTCTAACCATATATGGCAAACCTTGTAATTCCTTGTAGAATAATTATAACAATTTTTGAAATCCACATCATATACTGCTGTCAAACAGCCTATATACCTTCTAATAAAAATTATATATTTATTCACAGGAAACTTTAAATTCAATTCCGCTTATTTCATTGGAAAGTAGACTCAATAAGCTTTCCAAACATATATGGCTTAATCTGTAAATCCTTGTATACAAATTAAGAAGAAATTCGTAATTCAACTCTGATGCTGCTATCTTACAACCTGCATATCTTTAAGTTAAAATTAGACAACTCTTTATAAAAAATTCGGGTTTGACTTTCATTTGTTTCATTAGAAACTAGATTCAACATGCTTTCCAATGATATATAATAATCATAGCAATAATATATCCATTAATACAAAATTCTATTTTAATTCATTATTACAGATCACAATATCTCATCCAAAAATAGAATTTCTCTTTCAATCTTTAAAAAACCAAATCCTTACTTTTAGCCTTCAAACTCCATTCAATAATCATCAATAAATCCTAAGAACATGAAATAAACAAAGCCCAGTAATTTACCTAAATACATCATGAAGATTAATAAAAGATTTCATGATTTTTTTTTTCAAAACTTCAACTCCAAATAATAGCAATCAACTTGATATTTCTTTTTAAATAAAAAGAGGGCATGTATTCACCTTTAAGGGATTAACTTGATTGTAGCCTCTAATTGTGAATCTTCAACTTGATTTTTCATATTCTCTAACCCTAAGAAAAATGAAGAAGAAGAACTCTATTTCATTTTTGTTTCACGATAATTAAGTTTTCTTTCATCTAATACTTCAATCATTTTTTTTTTACTAAATAATGTCTTAATAAATTGATGGACTTTAATATTAATCTAACCCAGTTATTATTTGAGCTGGGGTATTACAGAAAATTAACATTCAACAAAAAGGAACAATTCCTCGTATTTGAACTTAAACATGGCCTCATCTAATAGTACAGCTTTCATACTGATAATGGTATGGACTATCGTCCTTTTTTCCTATGCTGCAGCTGAAGTTGCCACAACTTCGTCACTAGAACTAGAGGCAAAGGCTCTACTTGAGAGTGGTTGGTGGAGTACCTACAGCAACGATACTTCGCAGCGTTGCAACTGGGCAGGTATCTCATGCAATGACGCTGGTAGCGTCACCAAAATTTACCCACCTTCTGATGTTATTACGATTGGCGCTGATAAATTTGAAAATATGAACTTCTACTTTCCGAACCTTGTTTTTCTCAGTCTTAGTGGTCAAGAAGTCTTCGGGAGCATGAATGACGATGGGGTCATTGTGTCCAAAATAGGCCATCTATCAACATTAGTGCACCTCGACTTGTCCAACAATAGTTTATTTGGTGAGTTATCTCCTCAGCTTGGCAATCTCTCCCAATTAGAGTTTCTTGATCTTTCATATAACAGATATATTAAGGGTTCCCTCCCTTTGGAGATATGGGATTTGAAGAATCTCGCCATTTTAAATTTGACTGGGAACCAAATTGAACAACTGTTTCCGCCATCTTTTCTTCTATTGAACAACAATCTTACCCACCTGCATATGAGCTCAAATCAATTAAACCATTCCATTCCCCCAGAATTGGGAAATTTGGAGGCTTTAATGACTGTCTCTTTATGGAAACCACATCAATGGATCCACCCCGGTAGAGATTGGGAAGATAAAGAATTTGGTGACTCTAGATCTGTCCGGTTATAGGCTTGTCGGTTTAATTCCTTCTCTTGGTCAGTTAACCAATTAGTGACCCTGAATGTGTCCAATAACATGCTTGATGGCTCCATTTCTTCCATTCTTGGTTCATTAACCAATTTGGTCACCATCGATCTATCAAACAACGTGTTTTTGGGTCCATTATCCAATTTCAATCATTTGACAAAACTGAAATATCTTAGCCTTGCCATAAATCTAATCAATGGTTCCATACCTTCAGAAATAAAAAATCTTGAGAATCTGGTTTACTTGTGTTTCTCTGGAAACAACCTCATTGGGCCAATCCCCTCCACTTTTGGTTATTTACACAAGCTGGAAGAATTGCTTCTTAGCTTCAACGAAATCGACCGGTCTATACCTTCAAAAATTGGAGATTTGTAGACTTTGCGTGTTTTCTCCCTTAATTCAAATCTTTTAGAAGGTGCAATGCCGGAGAAAATTGGGAACTTGAAAGCATTGACTTTGTTGGACTTGTCTCAAAACCAGTTGAGTGGATCCATTCCGCCACAAATTGGTAATTGCCTGGATTTATAAGAGTTAAAGCTAAGCAGCAACTATTTACAAGGTCCCATTCCTGATCAAATTGGAAACCTTTCTTCTCTACGTCGAGTAGATCTCACAAACAATGATCTCTCAGGAGTTGTTCCCTATAGTCCTCGTTGGTTAACAAATATTAATTACTTCAACTCTTAACTGTTACGAAATTGATGCTAATGCATTTGGTGGCAACAAAAATTTAGCACCCTACTCATGTTCTCCACCACCCCATTCTTCAATGAAGAAGAGTTACAATCTCCAACTCCTAATATTTCTTCCCGTTTCCGTATTCATTGCCGTTTGTATTTTTGGGTGTTCATTGTTGTTAAAGGTATAAGGCCACGGTCAACCCAATTACAGTGCAAACACCTAAGAATGGAGATCTGTTCTCGATATGGAACTATGATGGAAAGTTAGCATATGAAGACATCATAGCAGCAACAAATGATTTTGACATCCGATTCTGCATTGGAACTGGTGGTTATGGAAGTGTTTACAGAGCACAGTTACCTAGTGGCAAAGTGGTGGCCTTAAAGAAGCTTCATCGTCTTGAAGCAGAAGAACCGGCTTTCGATAGGAGTTTCAAAAATGAGATAAAATTTTTGACAGAAATTCGACATCGGAATATTGTGACGCTACATGGTTATTGTCTACACAAAAGATGCATGTTTTTGATTTACCAATACATGGAAAGAGGAAGCTTGTTTCGCGTCTTAAGTGATGATGGTGAAGCTATGGAATTGGATTGGACCAAAAGAGTTAACATCATCAAGAGCACAGCTTATGCTTTGTCTTACTTGCATTATGAATGCACACCAATAATAGTTCACAGAGACATATCAAGTAACAACATTCTTTTAAACTCAGACTCGGAGGCTTTTGTCTCTGACTTTGGCACTGCTAGAATCCTAGACCCTGATTCTTCAAATATAACCAGGCTTGTTGGCACTTGTGGCTATGTAGCTCCAGGTGATGCTATCTCTACTACTTCATTTACTAATTGTCTTAAGGATTTATTTTATTTTATTTTATATATATAAGAGGCCATAGGCTCAGATAAAAACAAGTGCTGCAGGTGCTAAAATTCAAATTTAGATTTGTTGGATATCAATTGTCTTAATTCTTAAGTTATTATTCCACTTGTTTAAACTCTATAGTTAATTTCAAATTAAATTCATCTTCATTATTAAATTTCTGTCATATGATTAATGATTGTTAGATATTCTACTTGTGCACATTCCCACTTTCATTCAAAATAAATGCATTTTTTTTTTAGATATTTTAATGTGCATGGTTTGTTTATGCAGAACTTGCCTATACAATGGTTGTAACAGAAAAATGTGATGTTTTTAGCTTTGGTGTTCTGGCATTGGAAACATTGATGGGAAAACATCCTGGAGAACTTTTATCAATGGTGTCAAAACCATCATCTTTGCAAAATATAATGCTATCCGATGTATTAGATCCACGTCTCTCACCTCCAACAAGCCAGATGGTCGCGCAGAATATTGTTCATGTTGCTACAATAGCATTAGCATGTGTCCATACCGATCCAAAATTCCGGCCAACGATGAAACAGGTCACCTGAGAGTTTCTTTCTTGTCAAAGATCATTAAGGAACCCCCTTCGAACAATCTCTTTGCTGCAACTGGTGAACAGTGAGATGTACAAGGAAGGTGCATGACAAATTCCGTCACATTGTTGATGTCTAGCAAGTCATGTCTTGTTTCAATAAACTGATGAATAAGATGCATTTCCGGTTTCATCTTTTTAGTCCTTAATTTTTTTCCTTTCATATTCAGCAATTGAGAAATTCTCCAATTTGGTAAAATGTGTTTTTTTTTTTTTTTGATAAATCTTTGCCGTGAAGCAAAATTGGGGACACATTAAGAAAAACATACATACAACATTAAGTTAGATCAATAGTCCTATGCCATTAATGTCACCTTTCTCCTCTACCAAAATACTTGCTGGGACCGAGTAAAATTCAGGAACCCTTTCTGCTTAATAAAAAAAATTCACCTGAACTGCCTATAATTCAAGAAACAATCTGTCAACTTATAAAATGGAGGTAAGATTACACAGACCCAGGCAGGAACTCGGAGTGATATTAAAGCAGGGCTAATAAAAAGAGACAAAATCCTGACAAAGAGAAGACAATCACACATTCTTTTTGAGCAAGGTAGCGATATAATTTCCTGTCACCTTTATCCCTCCCCAAAAACTCTCGCTCAATAAGAGACACTACTCGTTTTTCAATTACGACGGGGTTGGGCGGAAACCGTGACTGTAGCTGTTTTGTGACCTCAGCAACAATGTTATTATGATTCATCACACTCCTCGCTTTCGTGATCCCCACTATTGCTGCCTCAATCAGTGGTTTCCTATCTTCTTCCACTCTCTGCCTAGTTTCTTGATTTTCAGGCTCGGTCTCCCTTTGTGCAACCACAGTGCCTATCTTGACCTTGAAGAATTTGCTTGTAAACTTGTCATTGAAAAGAAAGGTATCAGTGTCAGCGATATCCTTGCTTATAGGTTCCTTCCGCAGCACATTTTTTCCCTTATCACAGGCAAGTGACTGTGTCACGGGCTCCGACCTTAGACTCAGAATCCGTGCAGCTTTAGGTTTGGAATCTCCTCCTTTATGCCTAAGTCAGCCTAAAACACAAGCGTGTGGGCACTAGAACAATAGGAAGGGCTGATTACGCAAGTTAAAGAGAAACAGGACAATAAGACAGAATTCTGAAAATACTCTTGTATTCACTGAAACAGAAGTGTTTGATGGTGTACGAATGAGGGTGGAGCAGCCCTCTATTTATAGTTGAGGCTCCAGCTACAACTTAATGGCATATCCCTAGAATAAAAGCTAAAATCATGGGATTACAATCAATCAGGATTCTAACTCCTGATTTTCAGGGTCAACCAAATCTGTCAGGATGTTGCTGCTGATCCTGCCTGCTTCCAGAAGCTTCCCTTGCATGTCCAGCACCTTGGGCCCTTCTGGATGTGGTGCGGGCAGCTTGTATGCCAGGCCTTGGTCTCACGGGCTGGCCTGCAAGTCGGGCAGGTGTTCTGAGCTCGTTTGCTAGGCTTTGCGCACAGATACCCGCCAGCATGCCTGGTCTGCGGGCCTCAACCTCTGGCTCACCTGCTGGTCTGCCTGATGTGCCTGACGCGCCCGTCCAGGGCGTGACATGCTCCCCCACCTAATTGTGTAATGCCCTCGTTGCGTCTTCTGCATGGTACTGCCTGATCTAGTCCCCGAACTGCCATAAGTCATCTGCTGGTTCCCAGCTCGCCTCACTATCTGGAAGTCTCTTCCAACGCACCAAGTACTCATGTCTTGGTTGATAGTTCTTCTGTCTCACCTCTCGGTCAGCTATGATGCTGTGGACCTCCTTCTCATATAAGGCCCTTGCTCCCAATGGCGCACGTTTTGACTCTGCCCGTCCTGGATCTCCCTCATCCTCATGGAACGGCTTGAGCATGCTCACATGGAACACCGGGTGTACTTTCAGCTTGGGTGGCATATCCAGCTTGTAGGCAACCTTGCCTACTCTCTTGACTACTCGAAAAGGTCCCTCATACCTCCGGATTAGGCCTTTGTGCAGCCCCCTGTGGCGCACAATGGGATGCAGCTTCACCAACACCAAGTCTCCAACCAAGAACTGCACGTCCCCACCTATGCTAGTCTGCCCACTTCTTCGACCTCTTGGCCGCCTTGTGTAGACAAACTCTGGCCAAGTCAGTTTACTCCTGCCATGCCTTGGCAAACTTGTATGCTGCTAGATTCGGCCCTGTATAACCTGCAGCAATCGAACCGGGTGTTAGTGGTTGTTGCCTTGTCATAACCTCAAATGGGCTCTGGTTCGTTGCCTCGCTCCTTTGCAAGTTGTAGAAAAACTGCGCAATATCTAGCAGTTTTGGCCAATCCTTTTGTGTGGCACTCACATAGTGCCTGAGGTAGACCTCCAATAGTTCATTCACTCGTTCTGTCTGCCCATCGGTCTGCAGATGCATGCTGGTGAAAAAGTTCAAGTCTGACCCTAACAGCTTGAACAACTCAGTCCAGAATCTGCCCGTGAACTGCTCGTCCCGATCACTAACAATGGTCCTCGGCACTCTCTAGTACTTAACCATGTTCTTCAGGAACAATCGAGCTGCCTCCTCGGCTGGGCACTCCTTGGTTGCTAGAATGAAAATTCCATACTTGGAAAACCTGTCCACCACTACCATGATGCTTCCAAAGCCTTCTGTCTTAGGTAGACCGACTATAAAGTCTAGAGAAACACTCTCCCATGGTCGTTCTGGCACTGGCAATAGCTCCAAGAGACCGCCTGGTTTCTTGAGCTCCATCTTGTCCTGTTGGCACACAAGACAAGTCTTCACATAGGCCTCCACATCATCCCTCATGTGCGACCAGTAGTACCGGTCCTCGATCAGCGCCAAGGTATGGCTCACTCCGGGGTGTCCAGCCCACCTTGAATCATGACACTCTTGCAAAACTTCCTTGCGGAGCTTCCCGTGCTGCGGCACAAAGTCTACTGCCCCTGGTGTACAGCAACCATCCTGCAACCAAAACCGCCTAGTCTTACCTTGCTGGGCGTACTCCATCAAAGCCTTGGCTGTAGGATCATGCGCAAGTCCCTCCTTGATGCGCGGCACCAGTGACCCCTCTGGTTGGCTAATGGCAGCAAGGTTAGCCTTCCTGCTCAGGGCGTCTGCCACTAGGTTCGCCCGTCCTGGCTTGTACTCCATCTGGAAATCAAATTCTGCAAGAAAATCTTGCCATCTCGCCTGCTTGGGGGACAGCTTCTTCTGCGTCTGGAAGTAGCTGGTCGCCACATTGTCCGTCCTCACCACGAACCTCGACCCCAACAGGTAATGGCCCAAGTGCGCAAGCAGTGCACCACTGTCGTCATCTCCTTCTTTGGACCGTGTACTTGCGTTCAGTCTCGTTCAGCTTCTGCTCTCAAACGCGACTGGACGTCCCTCTGCATCAACACGCCCCCTATGGCAAAGTCTGATGCATCCGTATGCACCTCATACGGCTTGGCATGGTCTGGCAAGGCCAAGACTGGCTCCTCGACAGCCCGCTTCAACCTGTCAAAGGCTTCCTGGCACCCTGCGCTCCACTCCCATGCTCTCCCTTTCTTGAGCAAGTCAGTCAATGGCGTGGCTATTGCTGAGTGACCTTTGATGAAGCGCCTGTAGTAGTTAACCAGCCCAAGGAACGATCTCAACTCAGTGACCTTGGCTGGCGGTTGCCACTCCAGGATGGCGTCTATCTTGCCTTCATCCATGCGTATCCTGCCACCTCCCACTATGTGGCCAAGGAATGGGATCTCCTGCTGGGCGAATGAGCACTTCTCCCTCTTGACAAACAGCTTGTGCGCCCGCAACACCTCGAACACCTGTCTCAAGTGGTCTACATGCTCTCCCAAAGTCTGGCTGTAGATCACAATGTCATCCAAATAAACCACAACAAACCGATCAAGGAATGACTGAAGTACCTTGTTCATAAGGGTGCAGAATGTTGCTGGGGCATTCGTGAGTCCGAAAGGCATCACCAAGAACTCATACGAACCATACCGAGTGACACATGCTGTCTTTGCTCATCTCCCTCCGCGATCCTGACTTGATAGTAGCCTGACCTCAAATCCAGCTTGGTGAACCACCTTGCGCTCCCAAGTTGATCGAACAAGTCCGCAATGAGTGGGATGGGGTACTTGTTCTTGATGGTCAGCTTGTTCAAAGCCCGGTAGTCTATGCACAGCTGCAACGACCCATCATGCTTACGCTGGAATAGAACCGGTGCACCATAAGGTGCTTTCGGTGGCCGATGAAGCCAGCATCAACTAACTCTTTGAGCTGCTTCCTCAACTCCTCCAACTCTGGTGGAGACATTCGGTAAGGGGTTCTGGCTGGTGGCTTGGCCTCGGACACCAGCTCGATCTTGTGGTCCACCTTCCTTTTAGGTGGTAGCTTGCTAGGCAGCTTTGCGGGCATCACATCACTAAAGGTCTTCAGCACCTTTAGCACTCCAAGGGTGACTCGGTCTCCCTTCTCCTTGGCTCATCATATTTCAGGGCTGCCAAGAAGGTGTCTTCTTGTCTGCTTACCGCTTGGCAAATTGGATGGCTGACACCTTCGACCCAACTCCAAACCCTCTCTTCAATGGTACTAGGCATTGGCACCGTGCATCCAAGATGCAAACACAATCGGTAAAAGGCACAAAGAGGGCGTTAATCCAAAACAAGGAAATCCAACCCAATCACAAACTCATAGTCGTTAAGAGGTATTACCTCAAAGGTCTCCTTGCCTTTCCAGTCTCCAAGCTGCAACTCCACTCCCCACGCTACTCCAATGGCTGGAACTTCCTTGGAGTTCACTGTCTTAATGGTACCAATCACTTTCTGCACCTTTAGTCCGAGCTTCCGGGCTCCATCACCTGAAATAAAAAGATGTGAGGCACCTGTGTCCACCAGTGCGCTCACCTTCTGACCTACAACCATCAGATCTACAAACATCAAGCCCTTTGGCTTGCGGCTCCCTTTACTCTAGACAGCATTGAGCACCAACGACCCAAGCTTTGCTGCCTCTGACTCTGGCTCCTCATCAGACTCTTTGTCTACAGCAGCCAGCTTGCCCTTCTGCGGGCAATTGCGTGCTATGTGGCTCCCTCCATATAGGTAGCATGCTAGTGGCTCTCGGTCCCCTTTTGCTTTCCACTTGCCTGCTGGTGGCTTCCTCTCGCCATCTTTGGTTGAACGGTCTCGGTCCTTCTCCTTGAACTACTTCTTCCGGTCCCTATCGTCCCTGCCCTTACCCTTGGACTTGGAAGACTCGAACTTGTTCAGAGGCTTGAACTCTATCAAAGCCTCAGCAGTAGTCATGGCTTTAGCCAAGTCATGAACTCCTCTCCTTTGTAGCTTATGCTTCACCCACGGCTTTAGCCCATCCATGAAAGCAAAGAATGCGTCCTTCTCGCCTAGATTCGAGATCTGTAGTATCAGTTCAAAAAATTTATAGACATACTCCCTTATGTCCCCTTGCTGGCTCAGCCTGCGCAACTTTGCCTGTGCCTCATCATCGACATACTCCGAGTAAAATTGTTCTCTGAACTCCTTTTGGAACTCTGCCCAGGTTCCAATCTTGGCGTTCCCACGCCTGACATCATCACACCTGCGCCTCCACCACAATAAGGCTACATCAGTGAGATACATAGCAGCGGTGCTAACCTTTATCGCCTCGTCTTGCATGCCCATGGCCTGGAAGTACTACTCCATACCCCAAAGGTAGTTGTCTACTTCTTTGGCTGCCCTAGTCCCCTTGAACTCCTTAGGCTTGGGGACATCCAATCCGGATTTGGACACTCCGGCAAACATGCCATTCCCATTGGCAGTCTTACAAGTCACGAGCTCACTGGTAAGCTCCTCCATCCGTTGGCGCATGGCCTCCATGCCATCGCGCAAGGTCCGCACTTCAGCCTCCAAGGTCTGGTTCTTTTTAGTGAACACGTCCAAGCCTTTGTTGAGAGCAGCTTCTAGCTCACTTTGGATCTCCTCCCCCATGGAGTCTAGCGATGCAATGTGAGTCTCTACTTCCTCAAGCTTCTCCCTCATGTCACCCACGGTCACCTCCACCTTGGCCAGCCTACCGTTCATGGTAGACCAGATATCTCTAGAACTGGCTTTCTTACCTCTTTCCCGGTCATGCTCCTGGGCCTCTGGTTGTCGGCTAGCAACGTCGCTTTGGGATGCCATCTCCTCAATTACGATCTAACCTACACAACACAAACACGCAGAATCGAACTTGCTCTGATACCAACTGTCACGGGCTCCGACCTTAGACTCAGAATCCGTGCGGCCTTAGGCTTGGAATCTCCTCCTTTATGCCTAAGTCAGCCTAAAACACAAGCGTGCGGGCACTAGAACAACAGGAAGGGCTGATTATGCAAGTTAAAGAGAAACAGGACAAGAAGACAGAATTCTGGAAATGCTCTTGTATTTATTGAAACAGAAGTGTTTGATGGTGTACGAATGAGGGTGGAGCAGCCCTCTATTTATAGTTGAGGCTCCAGCTACAACTTAATGGCATATCCCTAGAATAAAGGTTAAAATCATGGGATTACAATCAATCAAGATGCTAACTCTTGATTTTCAGGGTCAACCAAATCTGTCAGGATGCTGCTGCTGATACTGCCTGCTTCCAGAAGCTTCCCTTGCGTGTCCAGCACCTTGGGCCCTTCTGGATGTGGTGCGAGCAGCTTGTATGCCAGGCCTTGGTCTCACGGGCTGGCCTGCAAGTCGGGCGGGCGTTCTGAGCTCGTTTGCTAGGCTTTGCGCACAGATACCCGCCAGCACGCCTGGTCTGCGGGCCTCAACCTCTGGCTCGCCTGCTGGTCTACCTGATGTGCCTCGCGCGCCCGCCCAAGGCGTGACAACTGCAAGCACCTCTTTAAGTCCGAGGCTGGTATCCCTGTGGCCTGCTCGATCTCCTTATAGCTCAGTTGACCGGCATTATTGAAGAGCATAAGGACACACATCTGGTATGTGGAAACATTCAGTTCATGCTTCTGACCCTTACCAAATGTTGCCTTCAAATCAACCGTGCCCATCTTTGTTTGCCAAGATAATCTCCGCCCAGTATTGGTCCCACGGTAATAATTACGGAATTTCTCACTTTTGCCCAGAATTTCAGCAGGATGGTTGCATGCAGTAATGGGTTGAGCTGGACAGGATCCAGTAGTGAGGCCAGGAAAGTGTGGGGCCATCCCATATCTCTGAACCATGACTTGGGTGGAAACCAGGCATCGTATCCTATGATGTCTTCATGTCTGTGAACATACCCTCCAATTTCGAAGTAAATTGATACCCACACTCTGTTTCGAGCTTAACAATCAATCTTCTTTCCGCATCATCAGGGCTTCCCTGAAAGAAGCCTTTTGGCCAAGTATTGCTTGTAATACTTGTCAAAAACATGTTTCTCTTGAAGGTAACGGAAGAGCATCATCACCTTGTCAAGTGCCAGCTCCAAATCCTCTTCAGTAACTCCCCTCAAACCTTTTCGAAGCTTGTCATCTACAAACAAAGAGATGAACTCTGGAGACCTAGAATTCAGATTGGTGAAATATTCAAAAGAGGAATTTAATGCATTTTCAAAAGTCTTGTCATTGCTAATTGCTGAAGTGATAATCTTGTCATGTTTATCCTTTAAATCCAACAGAAGTTGCACAAAATCCACAGGATCCTTTAGCCTTTCTTGATCGGTAACTAGCTGCTTACCTGTATCATGAATGTATGAAGTCATGGCATCTCTGATTAAAACAAGCCCATTGGGTACCCGACGAAACAAACAATCCATCCTTCCTAGGTCTTTATATTTGTCATCAACAATCATATTAACCAAGCCCGAGTTCTCCATTTGCACAAGCCTGTGCATATGACTCATCTCCTTTTCTACCACATTTGTTATTTTGATTTCACTTCTGGTGTCCAAGCAATGTGAGACAGCTATCAAACTCAAGCTCTGTTTGCTAGGGTCATCAGCCTTCAGCTTCTGGATGTACAAGTCACACAATACCATTAATGGCAACACATTCCACACCATTTTCAAATTTCAATTTCCAAGAAGGTAATGCAAGTCTCGATTTTAGAAACATTTATTTGATGTGATGAGAGAGATGACTTGCCTTAACCATGAGCTTGAGCTTCCTAGTAATCAGGATAAGGTTCAAGTGAAAAGTTTAAAAGCTAAGGGTTCACTAAAAGCGAAAAGGGAGATGTTTATAGGAAGGTGAAAGTTTTGGCAATTCCAGCAATTTCTCCTTGAAGGTTGAAGAAGCATGTACAATCAAGCAGCCCTACGATGGGGATTTAGAAGATGATGGCAGTCATTATGTTGGAAAGATGATAAAGAATCATGAGACCATAATCCGAAAAAGAAAAAGTGAAAAGCTAAATTTGTTGACTCGAAACCTTCTTCGAGAAAAAACGTTTCCACCCCTACGGAGAGAAAAGGATTCTGTCAATCTGAAATGAAGAATTCAAGAAGTTATTGTGAGTTTGGGGAGTTTAAGCAACTGGAGTCCTGGGATAGAAGACATTTTTTGTGACAGTAGGCATGATTGTGGGGTGGAAAAGCATCTTGAGGTAAGGTTATTTATAGATATCATATGGATATAGAAATATTAGGCATAGACAATATGGAAGAAGTATGGGCAAAAGTGAATAAAACTTTAATTTCTCAAAAAGTAAATGAAAAACCATGAGGCGAAATAAGGACGCCTAAACAAGAAATAGGAGATGTAAATCTGCAAACCATGATGATGGAAGAGACTTATTTAACTCTTTTCAAAAGTGTGGTGGACTTTACGGATGTCTATTGTTTCCCTTTATTTTAGAAATTTTTTTTTAAAAAATTGCAATTGAGATTGATTTTGCCCTGTTAAGAAATAAAAATATTGTTATGCTTTCTTTGATTCTTTTAATTTTGCTTTATTTCTAAAATTTTTTGTCAAAGTAACATTCTAGGAGATCTCAATGATTATAAATAAGATAAAACTACTTTTCATCTTAATTTTCATATTGTTTGTTTTCAATTTTAACTAGAATTGCATTGCGTACTAATTTTCAGTTACTCATGTGACTAGCAATAAAAGAAAAAAGAATTAGAATTATACTACACTGTATGTTGAAGTATGATCTTCTCTTTATTGATAGAATTATTTTTTCTCTTTATAATTTCCTGTACAAGCACTTATATTTCTTAAAAATATGCTTGAAGATGACTTTTCACTTCAATGGTTGGTACCTACATATGGATTAGATGGCATCGAATTCATATCGTTTGTAAATATAGATATCTTATAAGCAGTACATATGGTTAGTTAGAACAATTGTTAAAGAACTTAAGATAGTTAAGGTGAGAGGTAATTGAGTATGGCTTCATGTTTTAAGGTTTTAATATAGTTCTTCATGCTCTTTGACTGTAAATGAATCTTTGAGTAGCTAAAATCTATTTTTTGACATGCAAGTGAAAAGAAATTTTGCTTTTCCAATTGTTAAACTATTTATCAAAGTCTATTATGGCAATTTATTTAATTATATGTGGAATACAAATTAATGTTTTTGCTTCTATTATATGAAAGAGTTTCTTTCCCACCCATCTAATGACCCAATTCTAATTGGGATTATCTTCAATTTCTCTGTGTAATTGAAATGACTTCCTCAATTTACATGTTTTAGATTGCAGAGATTGTTGACTACATACATACATAATCATATAATGAATTTTATTTTTTAAAAAATATTGAAACCAGTCTATATTAGTTGATTTTTTTAATAAGCTTCCCTCCAAATTATGTAGCATTGCAATATGTCATACATTTCTTTTATCAAATGATCACACATGTTGCAATTCGTTTCCAAAGAACAAGTTGTGAATGCAAAATTAAGGTACATTCCTTTATAACCTTAATTGATTGATTAATGAATTATTATTGATTGTTGAAAAGATAAACTATTTTATTTTGTATTGTTTAAGTTATATGGATATGAGAAGTATCATTATTGTGATATTTCTTTACACCTTTTATTTTGATTTTAAAGGATACTGTAGTATATGATTCATTTGAAGAAAATCCTTAAAACCTTAATTCTGTTGCATTTGCAAATGGCATTGATTCAATGTACAGGTGCTGAAATATCGATCATGCTTTGGCAAGACTACAGGTGCTGAAAGAGTCAATCTCTAGCAATCATGAGCAAAAGAGGCATTCCTAGCATTTGGTTAGTATATTACCCATCAAAGATGCAATTGACATGTGGTTTGCTATTGAGTTACATGTGCATTGTTGATCTTTTGATTTATGGATATGGTGATGACATTATCATCTTTTTGTCCTTTTTTCTTGAATCAAACAAGCAATCATTGATGCTGCTGATTAATATGCCACAACCCCGACCCATGAAAGAAAAAACTCACAATTATGTGAACTTTTACTTATTATTCTTAAATGACAATTTGTTATTATATTTTATTCTGTTTTTTATATTTTAATTTTTTAAATTATTTAAAAATAATAATAAAATTAAAACTCGCAGCATAATTGGGATCTCGTTCAAATAAATTTCACCTCACAATCAAAATACTCAACCAATAGAAACATATATAAAACAAAATAACATCAAAAATTCTAAAAATAGAAAAAAGGAAATAAAAAAAATCCCAACCTGTAAAGCTCTTCAAAACTAAGTCCGCTAGCATTATGATTATAAATTTCATGAATCGCATGTTCCAGAACCTTCTATGACTTGTCTGCATATTTTGGATCAACCGCCACCCTATGCTTAAACGCTTCTATTTGAAACGTTTTCTTCTTTGAGCATTCATTTTTTTTCTTTTTTGTCAATTTTCTTTTCCAAAATCTAAAAATCAAGCTTCAAAATCAAAAACTTACAGTGAGTTTGACCTGATTAATCATTCTGGTTGTATAACCCCTAGAGGCAATAAGCATTGTTAATCAGTAAAGTTTAGTCACAAGTCCACTTTCAAGAATTCATAACAATTTTATTGTTCGATTTGCTCCTTTTGCTGAATGACTGACTGATTGATTGATTGATTGGGGCTTGTTCTAACAGGAACCAAAACATAGAATTGAAAATCTATGAACTTGTTGCTTGGTATGGACAGAGTGAACACGAGCTGATCACTTTTCTTGCTTTCTGAAGTCTAGAAATAGGAAAAAAAAAAGTTATAAAGTGTAGAATAATACGCACCAAAACACGGTCTAATGAATCTTGGTCTACGCCATCAAGGCAATAATTCTCCAGTGTGGTACAATCTATTCTGTTTTCTATTTGCAAATAAGAAGTCAATGAACGTAATAGACAAGTATTTCCTGTAATTACTCCTGATTATGATTATAGCAATGCTCGAAGAAAGTTAGATTCAAAATGCTTCCTTGAGTCTGCTCTTAAATGCTTGATTTGGATAGTGGGGGTCAGTGCACCTCCCAGTTCTCACCACACTGGCCCCCATCGAAATGAAGCCTAAGAAAATATAGCAGTCATTGTCAGAGGACTGAGTTTTTTTATTCGCTTTGAATCCAAGCGGCCAGGATGCATCCTGGAGCTACATTTGCTGGATAATGTGCGTTAGATAGAATGGGTCTATACGGTAAGAAGATTCACAGAAAGTTTTGCAAAGAAGACAAATTGAAGTAAAGACCACGGAAAAAGCTGAACAGTACATGGAAAACATGTTCCCTGATCCCCTTCGAAAGGTAGAAGACCTTGACTTCGGAAATAAACTTCTTTAAATTCGTTAGTCTGGAAATTAACATTCAACAAAAAGGAACAATTTCTCATATTTGAACTTTAACATGGGCTCATCCAATTGTACAGCTTTCATACTGATAACGGTATGGACTATCGTCCTTTTTCCCTATGTTGCAGCTGAAGTTGCCGCAACTTCGTTACTACAACTAGAGGCAGATGCTCTAATCGAGAGTGGTTGGTGGAGTAGCTACAGCAACGACACTTCGCAGCGTTGCAAGTGGACAGGTATCTCATGCAATGACGTTGGTAGCGTCACCAAAATTTACCCACCTTCCGATGGCGCAGTTAAATTTGAAAATATGAACTTCTCCTGCTTTCCGAACCTTGTTTTTCTCAGTCTTAGTGGTCAAGAAGTCTCCGGGAGCATGAATGACGATGGGGTCGTTATGTCCAAAATAGGCCATCTATCAACATTAGTGCACCTCGACTTGTCCAACAATAGTTTATTTGGTGAGTTATCTCCTCAGCTTGGCAATCTCTTCCAATTAGAGTTTCTTGATCTTTCATATAACAGATATATTAAGGGTTCCCTCCCTTTGGAGCTATGGAATTTGAAGAATCTCGCCATTTTAAATTTGACTGGGAACCAAATTAAACAACTGTTTCCGCCATCCTTTCTTCTTTTGAACAACAATCTTACCCACCTGCGTATGAGCTCAAATCAATTAAACCATCCCATTCCCCCAGAATTAGGGAATTTGGAGGTTTTAATGACTCTAGACTTGAGTTGTTGTGGACTAATTGGTCCAATACCACCTTCTTTTGGTCGGCTAACCAATATTATGTCCTTGTCTCTTTACGGAAACCAAATCAATGGATCCATCCCGGTAGAGATTGGGAAGTTGAAGAATTTGGTGACTCTAGATCTGTCCGGCAATATGCTCGTCGGTTCAATCCCTTCTCTTGGTCAGTTAACCAATTTAGTGACCCTGAATTTGTCTAATAACATGCTGGATGGCTCCGTTTCTTCCTCTCTTGGTTCATTAACCAATTTGGTCACCATCAATCTATCAAACAACAAGCTTGTTGGTCCATTATTCAATTTGAATCATTTGACAAAAGTGAAATATCTTAGCCTTGCCACAAATCTAATCAATGGTTCCATACCTTCAGAAATAAAAAACCTTGAGAATCTGATTTATTTGTGTTTGTCTGAAAACAACCTCACTGGGCCAATCCCCGCCACTGTTGGTTTTTTACACAAGCTGGAAGAATTGCTTCTTAGCTTCAACAGAATCGACGGGTCTATGCCTTCAAAAATTGGAGATTTGCAGACTTTGCGTGTTTTGTCCCTTAATTCAAATCTTTTAGAAGGTGCAATACCGGAGGAAATTGGGAACTTGAAAGCATTGACTTTGTTGAACTTGTCTCGAAACCAGTTGAGTGGATTCATTCCGCCCCAAATTGGAAAATTGCATGCACTGACATCATTGGACCTCTCAGGAAACCAGTTGAGTGGATCCATTCCGCCCCAAATTGGTAATTGCCTGGATTTAGAAGAGTTAAAGCTACGCAGCAACAGTTTACGAGGTCCCATTCCTGATCAAATTGGAAGCCTTTTTCTATGTCGAGTAGATCTCTCAGGAGTTCCCTATAGTCTTCGTTGGTTAACAAATTTTAATTACTTGAACTCTAACTGTTACGAAATTGATGCCAATGCATTTGGTGGCAACCAAACTTTAGCACCCTACTCATGTTCTCCACCACCCCATTCTTCAATGAATTACATTCTCCTCCAAACATTTCTTCCTTTTTCCTTATTCTTTGCCGTTTATTATTTTGGGTGTTCATTATTGTTGAGGTATAAGGCCAAGGTCAACCCAATTACAGTGCAAACACCTAGGAATGGAGATCTGTTCTCGATATGGAACTATGATGGAAAGTTAGCATATGAAGACATCATAGCAGCAACAAGTGATTTTGACATCCGATACTGCATTGGAACTGGTGGTTATGGAAGTGTTTACAGAGCACAGTTACCTAGTGGCAAAGTGGTGGCCTTAAAGAAGCTTCATCGTCTTGAAGCAGAAGAACCGGCTTTCGATAGGAGTTTCAAAAATGAGATAAAATTTTTGACAGAAATTCGACATCGGAATATTGTGAAGCTACATGGTTATTGTCTACACAAGCGATGCATGTTTTTGATTTACCAATACATGGAAAGAGGAAGCTTGTTTTGCGTCTTAAGTGATGATGGTGAAGCTGTGGAATTGGGTTGGACCAAAAGAGTTAACATCATCAAGAGCACAGCTTATGCTTTGTCTTACTTGCATTATGAATGCACACCAACAATAGTCCACAGAGACATATCAAGTAACAACATTCTTTTAAACTCAGACTGGGAGGCTTTTGTCTCTGACTTTGGCACTGCTAGAATCCTAGACCCTGATTCTTCAAATATAACCAGGCTTGTTGGCACTTGTGGCTACGTAGCTCCAGGTGATGCTATCTCTACTACTTCATTTACTAATTTTCTTAACGTTTTTTTTTTTTAATTATTATTTTATATATATCAGAGGCCGTAGGCTCGGATGAAAACAAGTGTTGCACGTGCTAAAATTCAAATTTAGATTTGTTGGATATCAATTGTCTAAATTCTTAAGTTATTGTCCCACTTGTTTAAACTCTATAGCTAATTTCAAATTAAATTCATCTTCATTATTAAATTTGCTTGTGCACATTCCCACATTCATTCAAACTAAATGTATTTTTTTTAGATATTTTAATGTGCATTGTTTGTTTATGCAGAACTTGCCTACACAATGGTTGTAACAGAAAAATGTGATGTTTTTAGCTTTGGAGTTCTGGCATTGGAAACATTGATGGGAAAACATCCTGGGGAACTTTTATCAATGGTGTCAAAACCATCATCTTTGCAAAATATAATGCTATCCGATATATTAGATCCACGTCTCTCACCACCAACAAGCCAGATGGTCGCGCAGAATATTGTTCATGTTGCTACAATAGCATTAGAATGTGTACATACCGATCCAAAATTCCGGCCAACGATGAAACAGGTCACCCAAGGGTTTCTTTCTTGTCAAAGATCATTCAGGAACCCCATCCGAACAATCTCTTTGCTGCAACTGGTGAACAGTGAGATGTACAAGGAAAGTGCATGACAAATTCGGGCACATTGTTGATGTCGGCACATTGTTGATGCATTTCCGGTTTCATCTTTTTAGTCCTTACTTTTTTTCCCTTTCATATTCAGCAATTGAGAAATTCTCCAATTTAGTAAAATGTGTTTTTTTTTTTTTTTGATAAATCTTTGCCGCGAAGCAAAAATGGGGACACATTAAAAAAAAACATATATACAAGCATACAAAGTTAGATCAATAGTCCTATGCCATTAATGTCACCTTTCTCCTCTACTAAAAAACTTGCTCGGACTGAGTAACATTCAAGAACCCTTTCTGCTTAATAAAAAAATTTCACCTTAACTGCCTATAATTCAAGAAACAATTTATCAACTTATAAAATGGAGGTAAGACTACACAGACCCAGGCAAGAACTCGGAGTGATATTAAAGCAGGACTAATAAAAGGTTACAAAACCCTGACAAAGATAAGACAATCACACATTCTTCTTCAGCAAGGTAGCAATACAATTTCCTGTCACCTTTATCCCTATCCAAAAACTCTCGCTCAATGAAAGACTATTTGTTTTTTAATTACAACAGGGTTGGGCAAAAACTGATTTTAGCTGTTTTGTGACCTCTGCAACAATGTTATTATGATTCATCACACGCCTCGCTTTCATGATCATCACTATTGCTGCCTCAATCTGTGGTTTCCTATCTTCTTCCACTCGCTGCCTAGCTTCTTGATTTTCGGTCTCAGACTCCCTTTGTGCAACCACAGTACCTATCTTGACCTTGATGAATTTGCTTGTAAACTTTTCATTGAAAAGAAAGGTATCAGTGTTAATATGTCCTTGCTCATAGGTTCCTTCCACAGCACACATTTTCGCTTAACATATGCAAGCACCTCTTTAAGTCTGAGGCTGGTATCCCTGTGGCCTGCTCGATCTCCTTATAGCTCAGTCGATCAGCATTATTGAAGAGCATAAGAACACATATCTGGTATGTGGAAACATTCAGTTCATGCTTCTGGCCCTTACCAAAGGTTGCCTTCAAATCAGCCGTCCCCATGTTTGTTTGCCAAGACAATCTCAGCCCAGTATGGGGTCCCAATCTAATAATTACGGAATTTCTCACTTATGCCCAGAATTTCAGCAGGAAGGTTGCATGTAGTAATGGGTTGAGTTGGCCAAGATCCAATAGTGAGGAACTGTTCAGAAAGTGTGGGGCCATCCCCTATATCTGAACTATGACTTGCGTGGAAACCTTGCATCGTATTCTGAGATGTCTTCATGTCTGTGAACATATCCTCCAATTTCGAAGTAAATTGATAGCCACATTCTGTTTTGAGCTTAACAATCAATCTTCTTTCCGCATCATCAGAGATGGTCTTCCCTGAAAGAAGCCTTTTGGCCAAGTGTTGCTTGTAATACTTCTCAAAAACATCTTTCTCTTGAAGGTAACGGAAGAGCATCATCACCTTGTCAAGTGCCAGCTCCACATCCTCTTCAATAACACCCCTCAAACCTTTTCAAAGCTTGCCATCTACAAACAAAGAGATGAATTCTGGAGACCCAGAATTCAGATTGGTGAAATATTCAAAAGAGGAATTTAATGCATTTTGAAAAGTCTTGTCATTGCTAAATGCTGAAGTTATAATCTTGTCATGTTTATCATTTAAATCCAACAGAAGTTGCACAAAATCCACAGGATCCTTTAGCCTTTCTGGATAGGAAACTAGTTGCTTACCAGTATCTGTTAGTGGTTGAAGCATGCTAGTACTGAAGCATATTAGTGTGTTAGTGGTTGAAGCAAGTTAGTATGGCATTTCTGCTGAAACTTTCTGGCAGCAAATTAGTTTAGGTAAAATGATGGGTCTGTGCATGGTGACCCATGCTGTTAGGCCAACAACTTTTGTATTTTTGAAGCCTATAAATTAATGAAATGAAGCTCATGATCAAATGAGCCAATTTATTTCAAGTGACAGATTAGTTTCTGCTGTCTTTGTTTGTTCTTCCTCCGCTCTAAATCCTTCAATTGCTATCGGAGCATTCTTTAAGTTCTTAGAGGATCTGTGAGTTCCAAAAATTGAGTGAAAAGCCATCAAACACTTTCCAGCCAGCCTTTGTCAACCTTAAATGGCCTTAAGCAATTGCTCCTTACCTCCACCTCCTATTTTTTCTGGTGAAAACTACCAGATATGGGCTGTCAAAATGAAGACTTATTTGAGTGCTTTTGATTTGTGGGAAGTGGTGGAAAATGAGAAGGAACCACCACAACTTCCTGCAAATCCAACAGTAACTCAAATGAAAAATTATAGTGAAAAAAAGGCAAAGAGGTACAAGGCTAAAAGCTGTATTGAGTCTTCAGTTTCTGATGACATATTCATTAGAATCATGACTTGTGAAACTACAAAACAAGCTTGGGATGTGCTCAAGGAAGAGTTTCAAGGCAGTGACAAGACAAGACAAATGCAAGTGTTGAATCTTAGAAGAGAGTTTGAAGTCTTAAAGATGAAGGAGTCTGAAAATTTAAAGGAGTACAATGACAGACTCATGAAGATAGTAAACAAGATTAGATTACTTGGTGAGTAGCTGTCAGACAAAAGAATTGTAGAGAAGGTTCTTGTCAGCTTACCAGAGAGGTTTGAGTCAAAAATCTCATCCCTTGAAGACTCTAAGGACCTGACCAAGATAACTCCAGCAGAATTGTTCAATGCTCTACAAGCTCAAGAGCAAAGAAGGGCTATCAGACAAGAGGATTCAACAGAAGGTGCTTTTATAGCCAAGGAGAAAGGCAAGATGCAAACAGAAAGCAAAGGCAGAAAACAAGGAGACCAAAGAAACCAAGGTTCTAGAAACAGTGAAAAGAAAGGAAAATTTCCACCATGCTCTCACTGCAAAAAGACTACTCACTTGGAGAAATATTGCTGGTACAAACCTAACATACAATGTAGGTACTGTAAGCAGCTTGGTCACATGGAGAAGGTATGTAAAAGCAAAAAACAGCAGCAGCCAGATCAACAAGCCAGAGTTGCTGACAATCAACAACAGCTAGAAGAGCAAGTTTTTGTTGCAACTTGCTATGGAACCAGAACCTCCTCCAGTGCATGGCTCATTGACAGTGGTTGCACACACCATATGGCATCTGATATCAATATATTCAAAGAACTAGACAAGACCTGCACCTCTAAAGTCAGAATAGGTAATGGTGATTTCATAGAAGTCAAAGGAAAAGGAGTAGTGGCAGTTGAGACACCAACAGGTACCAAACTCATTTCAGATGTGTTATTTGTGTCCAAAATAGATCAAAACCTGTTAAGTGTAGGACATTTGCTAGAAAATAACTACTCTTTAGTCTTCAAAGACAAGGCATGCATAATTTATGATCCCACTGGCCATGAACTCTTTACTGTTAATATAAAAGGAAAATGTTTTTCCTTGAATTGGCATGAAGCAAACTCCTCTGCATATGCTACTTCACATGATGAATCTTCTTTATGGCATAAAAGGATGGGACATTTCAACTACAATGCATTAAATTTCATGCATAAAAATGATCTTGTATTAAACATGCCTACTGTTGAAGTCAGTGTTGGAGTGTGAAGTCTGTCAACTAGGAAAACAAAGTAAGTTGCCATTTGCAATTAACAAAGCATGGAGGGCAACTGAAAGATTACAACTTGTTCATACTGATGTTTGTGATCCTATGAGAACCTTGTCCTTGAATGGCAGTAGATATTTCATTGCTTTTATAGATGACTTTACTAGAATGTGTTGGATTTACTTCATGAAACAAAAGTCTGAAGTTGCAAATGTATTTTGGAAGTTCAAGGCTTGGATTGAGAATCAAAGTGGTTGCAAAATCAAGATCATAAGGTCAGACAATGGTACTGAATACACATCTGACAGATTTAATGAGTTTTGTGAAGTTTCAGGAATTGAACACCAACTGACAGCAACTTACACTCCACAACAAAATGGAGTCAGTGAAAGGAAGAATAGAACAATCATGGAGATGGCAAGATGCATGCTGTTTGAGAAGAATCTTCCAAAGAAATTCTGGGCAGAGGCAGTCAATACCTCTGTCTACTTGCTCAACAGGCTGCCCACAAAAGCTTTGAAGGGAAACACTCCTTTTGAAGCCTGGAATGGAAGCAAACCATCAGTGCACCACCTCAGAATTTTTGGCAACATCTGTTATGTGTTTGTTCCTGATATCAAAAAGGACAAGCTTGATCAAAAAGCAGAAATATGTATTTTTTTGGGCTATAGCAACATCACCAAAGGCTATAGGACTTACAATCCACTTACAGGCAAGATGATTGTAAGTAGGAATGTGAGATTTAATGAGCAAGCTGCTCGGAATTGGGAAAAATCAAAGGGAGAATCAGTCAAGCAAATTGCTGCAGACATGATAAGCTTCCAAGATCAAGAAGATTATATGTTTGAAAATGAAATCATTGATCATGAACTAGTGAGAGGAATCAGACCACTCACAGATATTTATCAAAGATCAAATGTTGCCATTCTTGAACCTGCAAGCTTTGAAGAAGCTGTCAAATTTTCAGAGTGGAGAAATGCCATGAAGGAGGAGATTCAAATGATTGAGAAAAATCAAACATGGATGCTGGTTGACAGACCAAGTAACAAAAACATCATTGGTGTCAAATGGATTTTCAGAACAAAGTTGAATGCTGATGGTTCCATCAACAAACTTAAAGCTAGATTGGTAGCTAAAGGCTACTCCCAACAGCTTGGTGTTGATTTTTCAGAGACATTTGCTCCAGTTGCAAGGTTGGACACTATAAGGCTGTTATTAGCCTTAGCAACTCAATAAAGTTGGAAAATATACCAACTTGATGTCAAATCTGCCTTCTTGAATGGTTATCTTGAGGAGGAGATCTACATTGAACAACCTGATGGTTTTGTTACCAAGGGACATGAAGGCAAAGTCTATTCTACTCAAGAAGGCTTTGTATGGATTAAACAAGCTCCCAGAGTGTGGAATTCCAGAATTGATGATCATTTACTGAAGTTAGGATTCAAGAAAAGCCTCAGTGAAGCAACATTGTACATTAAAGTTTTTAACAGTAATGATCTGTTGATTGTTTCTTTGTATGTTGATGATCTTCTAGTGACAGGTAGCAAATCAGCTCTTGTGGAAGATTTTAAGCTCCAAATGCAGGAAATTTTTGAGATGACAGACATGGGAGAAATGTCTTATTTTCTTGGAATGGAGATTCATCAAGACCAGCAAGGAATCTTCATTTGTCAAAGAAAATATGCAAATGAAATCCTGAATAAGTTTGGGATGGAAAATTGCAAACCAGTCAACACTCCTTTGGCTCAAAATGAGAAACTTGTTAAGGAAGATGGAGCTAACAAAGTTGATGGCTCTATTTATAGAAGCTTGGTTGGTTGCTTATTGTATTTGACAGCAACCAGGCCAGACATCATGTATGCTGCAAATTTACTCTCTAGGTTCATGCAAAATCCTAGTGAGTTGCATTTTAAGGCTGCAAAAAGAGTGTTGAGATATGTCAAAGGAACCAATGAACTTGGAATTTGGTTCAAGAAGAATGACAGTTCAAGATTGGTAGGATTCACAGACAGTGACTGGGCTGGCTCTCATAAAGACATGAAAAGCACTTCAGGCTATGTGTTTTTCATTGGATTAAATGTGTTCAGCTGGAATTCAAAGAAACAAGGAACAGTGGCTCAATCAACAGCAGAAGCAGAGTATATAGCTGTTGCAGCTGCTGTTAATCAAGCAATTTGGCTAAGAAAATTCTGTTGGATTTGAGTCAAAAGCAAGATGATCCAACAGAAATTTTTTGTGATAATCAGTCAGCAGTTGCAATGGTCAAGAACCCTGTGTTTCATGGAAGAACTAAGCATATTAAGATCAAGTATCACTTTATTAGAGAAGTTGAAGCTGAGAATGAAGTGAAACTGGTGCATTGCAAGTCAGAAGATCAGATTGCAGATATTCTGACCAAAGCCTTACCAAAGGCAAGGTTTGAAACATTAAGGAAAAGTCTTGGTGTTTCCAGCAGAAATACCAAGGAGGAGTGTTAGTGGTTGAAGCATGCTAGTACTGAAGCATGTTAGTGTGTTAGTGGTTGAAGCAAGTTAGTATGGCATTTCTGCTGAAACTTTCTGGCAGCAGATTAGTTTAGGTAAAATGATGGGTCTGTGCATGGTGACCCATGCTGTTAGGCCAACAACTTTTGTATTTTTGAAGCCTATAAATTAATGAAATGAAGCTCATGATCAAATGAGCCAATTTATTTCAAGTGACAGATTAGTTTCTGCTGTCTTTGTTTGTTCTTCCTCTGCTCTAAATCCTTCAGTATCATGAATGTATGAAGTCATGGCATCTCTGATTAAAACAAGCCCATTGGGTACCCGACGAAACAAGCAAAACGTCCTTCCTAGGTCCTTATATTTGTCATCAACAATCATATTAACCTTTATGTGGCCCTTTCTGAAGAAACAGTCGTGGCATCTGCATCAGCCAGTTACTTGGCCATCCTCACAACAACTTAGACAACTCTCAAACTCAAACTCTGTTTGCTAGGGTCATCAGCCTTCATCTTCGGGATGTTTAAATCACAGAATACCATTAATGGCAACACTTTCGACACCATTTTCAAATTTCAATATCCAAGAAGGTAATGCCAAGTTCAAAATCAGAACCCAACTGCTTATCGTGCCACCGATAATTCATTACTCCAATTAGTACCCACAAAAAATTCATATTTTTGCTTCCTTATTTACAGATGTTGCTGGCATTTGAACACTAGTGCCTTAATTCTATAGACAATGGAGTAAGAAACTTAAGAAATTCAGTGTCTTGGCAACTCATCATCGCCTAATAAGTAGATTACTCAACTCACCTTCCTCAAGAGTTACTTTTAAATTCTCAATTGTTCAAGAATATTATTACCGGAAAATTCTCAAAAAATTAAACTAATATTTAGATAAATTTCAACTCACAACCAAAACACTTAACCAATAGGCACATAATGAAAACAAAATCACATCAAAAATTCTAAAAAAAAAAAAAGGAAAGAAACAAAAATCCTAACCTGTCAAGCTCTTCAAAGCTAAGTCCACTAGCATTGTGATTATAAATTTCATGAATAGCATGCTCCAGAACCTTCCATGACTTCTCTGCATATTTTGGATCAACTACCACCCTATGCTTAAACGCTTCTATTTGAAACGCTTTTTTCTTCTAAGCATTCTTTTTTTTTTTCCTTGCTTTTTGTCAATTTTCTTTACCAAAATAAAAACCCACCTTGAAACGACCTGATTAACCTTTGAAACCCGGAATTTGATATGAAAGTTTGATATTGAGTTTCAGTTCTTCTCTTTAACTCTTTTCTTTGTTCTTTATTTCCACTTTATGGAGTTTTTAAATTACCTTTTGCATAATTGCTTCTTTTACCCAAAAAATAATAATAATAAAATAAAAAGAAATACGAAGGAAAACTTTTGTAAGTTACTAAGTCATTATTTATATTTTAACACTATAAACTTTAATCAATGAAATTCATTGAATTTGTAAGAATTGAGTATTTGATTTATTAGATTTAAGTTTGATTCAATAATTTTTTTGATAAACAATTTATAAATTAAATATAAATCACTTGTGAGGCATGCAAAACTCTTCTTTTTTCTCCCAAAATATCCATTTTTCGACCTTCACATTCAAAGTGATTCATGAATCTTTTCCTCCTTTCTGTTTTGAAGAAACTTTTACTTTAATTGAAAGTATTAATCAATAAATATATTTAATATAGGTCAATGTAAAAAATTTTTATTAGAATTACTAAAATATTCAGAATTGAACACATAAGAAACTTGATTCCTTGCTCAATATAATTGCATGAAATCATGTTGTCAAAGATTCATATCCTTTCAAAAATTAATTCAAGGTTTGTTGCATTTGCAAGAATGCATCAACCGAACAAAATGACAAAGGAAGTCCCCCACTCATTCTTCCAAAAGTCCATTTTATTTTGCTTTTGCATAATCACCACAACATTTGTCAGAATCCAGACAAGCGTTACATAACCATCCAATGACACAAAAAACCATGACATAACACGTAACTGCTCTCACTTTCCTGGCTACAAAGCCCCAAACTAGAAAAACAAGACAAAACATATATCAACTTCAGGTTCAAATTTTTCTGACAATTTCAGCTCAAGTATCTTGATTTGTTTTCAATGGAGTACCAGGATGTTTATGATGTGGAGTTGAAACCTAGGATACTAGCGTACTTGATGAATGACCAAATTCCTAATGAGACTGACCCTTCACTTCAACACTGTGATTTGCAGAGAATTGTGAATGCCATCAGGAATCTTGGGTTGCTTTCTGAATCATTCCCTGAAGAAGCTAATAACTCTAGGATTGTTGAAGATTGGGCTATTGCTGTTGATTCTTGGGTTGATCGAGTACTCTCCCTCGTGTCTAGTCCAAGGGTCAGTGTTATTTTTAGTTACAAAACTATCATAAATTGCTCTTCTTCTCAATGACTCTATGCTTTTTCTTTTCGTTTGACCTTATTTGAATATCATCATGCTAAACTTAATTCAAGAAATTTTGGTTTTACATTGACAAAAGTTTTATCAAGTTGTTCTATGAATTACTGTTTCTTATTGGATTATATAATTCTTCCACAGTCACGCAAATGTTGGACAGGCATATGTTTACTGGGGGTGACCTGTCAAGAATGCAGCTCCGACCGTTTACTAGCAGAGTACCCTCTTTGGTTCGATAAACTCAAATCAAATATCCAGGCATGAGCTCTTTTTCTTACACTTCTCTACCATTTCCAAGAACTATATATATGAGCTTTACTGTTTGGAAAGTCATAGAGTGGATTATCTTGCATCGTCTCATCTTACTGTGAATTTCAGGACGTGATCTTAACTTTGCTGCTAAATTTGTTATTTCTGGAGCTAGTAATGAAATTACTGTCAGGAAAAATTCTTAATAGTTTTTGTGATTGTGTTTTGGCATGGTTCTTGATTTTCTAACATGGCATGTGGTTTCTTGTGATTTTTGCAGCCAGCATCAGATTATATTTCTGTTAAGGTGGCCACTTTTGCCTCCTTGTCGAATCTGTTGAAAAGGTTTTCATCACTCTTTTCTTCCCATTGAAAATTTCTTGTTTATTGTACTATTGTATATAAACTCTATAACTATACTTTCGAATGTAAATCGCTTTTCCTACTTCAGGCTGGGTAGATATTCGGACGTTAAGAAAGATGCTACAGCGCAAGCTGGGAAGCTCATTCAACCTGTTTTGGAGCTTTTATTAGATAATGAATTTTCAGAGGTGGTACTGGTAAGCTGTAATTGCTTTTGCTTTCATCACTACAATGTTATTTTAGCTAGCCCCTTGGAACCGCTTTATTTGAATTTGAACTCAGTCAATAGGGAAAGCTTCATCAAAGGCTTTAGTACTGTCAAATGCACCGTTTCCATCTGATAGTCTGCATCTACTCTGCATTTGCACTGTTGCAGTTCAATGGTGTTGGGAATTGTCAGCAGGACATTTCGTGTGGGAATAAAGGAGATTGGATATCCAAACAAAAAGTTGAATGTTCTAAAGTCCTTTTCTTTTTTTTTTTTGCATATGGGTTATTCTATCTGGTGCATGGTGAAGGTAGAATTATATCTGTAATAACAGTAGACTGCAACCTTGCCATAAATTAGCCTTTTCTAGCTTGTGTCCTAGTGATAACGATAGGGCTTCACTTACCTAGTTACTTCAACATGTATTTCTTTCTTGCTACCTGGTATAGAATACTACTAGGGATAAAGGCATTGCTGAGTTCCATCATCATTTCGGAGTTTTGTTTGTACAGGAAGGAGCACTTGCAGTGCTATGTACCATAATAGATTTCTTTCCAGCATCTTTTCTCCCTCATTATGAAAAGGTGAGCTAAGTTTACATGTTTCCTTGTCTGTTCAAATTGCTTCAACAAAATTGTTCTTTAAGCTTGACAATAATGTAATAGACTCTATCGTTGTAGAAAAAGATAATTGATGGGCTCCAGAGTCAGAATATGTAATGAAGATTCATAACTGTGAATTTGTGCTATCTCTTGCTAGCTGTAATGAATACCTTATGATTATGGAATCCAAAAAATAGAAAACAGATTAAAGAAATGTTTGACACAAGCAGTCTTTTATGTTTCTTTCCAGTATATATATGATAAGATCAGTTAATCTGTGATCAATGATTGTCATGAGTGAATCTTAATTTTTCTGAATTGACTATATCAAGTCTAGATATAAAAATTAAAAAAAAAATCATAGTTGGCTGTCTAATGTGTAAATGACTGTTAAGTATCGTTTACAGGCTGAAGCTATCATTGTTTCAAAAATTATTTCAGGCCGGTGCAGTTCTAGTATGATGGAGGTGAATGTAGTCTTTACTTCTTTTCTTCCTCCCCTACCCTTTTCCCCCACTTTCCATTTTCCTACATAGCAGTTTCAGATGCGCCACGAAATAACAACTGCATGAATATGTGTAAAATCTATTTCATTTGATATATCATTCTGTATTTTGTTGCTTTTCAATGTATAGAGCTATGCTTATTTCTTAGCATCCCTTCCAAAATCAAGAGGTGACAAGGATAGCTGGTTTGTTATGATGCAAGATTTACTAACATCAATAGAAATTCACTTGAATGATGTCTTCACAGGTCCGGAACAAGGTAAGTAACAAAATCATCTTGTTCTAGCTACTGCTGTCTTTAAAGTGATCCGACTCCTTTGCATATCACGCAGAACATAACCGTAGCAAATTTAGTTGCTAAATTACTGTTTATTCCAGGGATAGATCCATTAGCTCCAGAAAGAGCACCTTATCTAGAAGCAAGAAAGTCCAAGCAATTGTTGACATGCATAATCCCAACACTAATGCTTTGCTGCAGCACAATGCTGACAAATTCTTATCCTGTTGAGGTAGTCTAACATGATAGAATAAAAGCTATTAATTTATTCTAGAAATTTTTAAAAAATGACAACATTTTTCGGCTCTTGTTTGATCACATTTCTAATTTAATAGGTCAATCTGAAAAGAAAATTTCTCATTTAATGTTAAATAGGTGACCGTTCCTGTTCATCAATTATTAACTGTTGTAAAGAGAGTTCTGATGCTGCCTGGCTCCTTCCCCCAAGCTTCATTGCGATCGATAGCAATCATGCAGGAAGCATTTGTTTGCACTGAGCTTCCGGTTTTGCAATCATATGGTTTAGATCTCCTAGCTGCAATCATAAAAGGAACATCCAGGTGAAGGAATTGAAACCTGTATACAATCCAATTAGCCAATTATTTTGTTTTCTACATTTTAACAAAGGCCATGGGATGAACTCAAGGAAGCTATATAACCATATATCACATCAGTACTTTTAACTTTATACTTGAATTTTGGGAGGGAAGAGGAGATTTCATCCATTTTATTTTATAGTTGATCGATATTCTTATAGTTGTTGATAACATTTTGCTTCTATGATAATGTTGCAGCCAACTGTTGCCCCATACTGGACATATTATCCGACTCCTTAAAGATTGCTTCCAAAAATGTGCATTGCCAGTGCTAAGGACAAAACTTTATTTGATCATAAGGACTTTGCTTATATCTATGGGCATTGGTATGAAACAAATTTTCTAGAATTCTACCAGATCTTATTTATTTGCAATACTGTCTTACAACTACAGTGCTTTGATAGATCGTAAACAGGCATCTTTAATGATGAAAAACCATTCTGATAAGTATAAAATCACAATACATGCTAAATCAGAAAAGTGGGAAACAGGGTTGTCAAAGCTTCTATTTTTACTTTTGTCCCTACTTTTTAGTATTGTGGAGTTGGTTTGGGAAATGGCGTAATTTTTTACCACCATTTATAGTCTTTGGTTCTAATGACTGCATTTTTTTAAAACAAATTAGATTCAAGGTGAAATAAGCTGAATAATGGTGTAAAAACCTGGATGTTTCCTTACTGATTTAGGTATGATCACATAGAAGGCTGTTTGGTTTACTTTTTTGTTTAGACAATATAGTTTTCGGCATTTTTCGCCTTTTCCTCTTTTCCAGACTACCCATCATTTCTGCTTTGGCATATGTTAGATTCTACTTTTGCTAGGGTTAGGTTTCTATTGATATATCTATACCATGGAATTTAGGTCCACTAGTATGCATAAGCAAAGTTGTATACTGTGCAGGAGCAGCCTTACACATTGCTGAAGAACTCATCAGCAATGCATTTATTGATTTGGATGCCCCTCAGTATGGAAATAGGAAAGAGGTATACAATCTAGACTCAAAATTCGCTACAGTTGAAGCATCAATGCAGCCTGCTCACAAGAAAAGGAAGCATACTGCAACTGACTCCTTCAAGGATAGGGACTGTTTGGAAATGCAAGTGCCAAAGAACTTTTCAACCTCTCCTATATCTTTGAAGATTGCTGCATTAAAGGCATTAGATACTCTCCTCACTATGGTATGCTACCTTTATTTCTTTTTTCATGGAGAATGTTGTGCAGATGTGCATGAAATTGCTTATAATCTATATGCCTGTCAATAAAAATTATATGATTCATATTGACATATAAAATACAACAGACCTCTTGTTGTAGCCTTGTTTATTACATTTTCGTAACAATTTCCTGTTTTTTGCTGCAGCTAAAACTATGCAATTTCTGCAAGAATTCCTTTAAACCATAATTTTATATTTCTGAACTGATTTTGGTAGCAATTTTACTCTGTGCAATCTTATAATTGACTCTACATGATCACATAAGAGATCACTTTTAACATCTTATTGTGTTTATTCGGCTTTTATATTATTGAACAAAAATATAGGGTGATTACTAATTATGCTGCAGGGAGGAGTCTTCAGATCTGAACTACGACCTAGTATCGATAATCTGCTAATAAATGTAGCAGTAAATGCTTACAATGGTAAATGGACTAGTGATGAAGAGAGTGAACTCATGTCACCCAATGGACCTCCTTATGCAGATTTCTTGCTTGCAGCATTTCATGCTCTGTTGGCATCTCTACTTTCCCAACCTTCAGTTTGCCAGCAACATCTGGCTAAGGGACTTGAACTTTTCCGTAAAGGTAGAGTTAACAATCAAAAATCTCATTCTCTTTTGCTTAAAGGAAAAAATTTTACTAAAATGGAGAAGATATATACATGTTGCTTCCTTATTCAGGCCAGCAATGGTCCAAAGAGCCTAAAGATTGAAATCAGAAGTTCATATTACTTGCTATTTCTTTGGAATCTGGGTCAAAATCTAAAATTTCTTAGGAAGTTTTTTTCAATATGATGCTCACAACAGCTTATGCTAAAACCCTTATGAATGTCTTCTACAGGCAAACAAGAAGCAGGAACAAAGATTGCCGATTTCTGTGCACTTGCTCTTTTGGCCTCAGAAGTGCTTGTGCATCCAAGGAAAGTTTCAGCCGCTGCAATTCCATCTACTAGCCATGGCTGCTTCAATGAGGGAATTGAGCATGAAATGTCAGAGAATTTATATTTGGTTCCTAATGAAAATGAGACTCCCAATTCACCTCCAGCAGGGATGATCAATCCAAATCAAGATGAAGCTCTATTTAACCATTTGCTTAATAGTTACAATGACATTGAAGCTACACTAAGCAACCCTGATAAAATCATTGACATTGCTGAAGAACCTTCCAGGATGGATAGTCAGAAAGCTGTTGAAGATTATCAGGTTGATCATATTCCAATACTTGGTTACACTGGTGTTAGATTTCCAGGAAAAGAAGACCAGCAAGGAGTGTCATTTCTTGTTGATGTGGAGATGGAAAGAAACTCGGATGACATCATGCACAAGAAGCAATTTCCAGGTCCATTGTCAGTGGCAGACATCAAGCCTTTTATAGATATGAAAAAGGGTCCTGAAACAGAAATCAAAAAAGTTGTTTGTGATAGTAGCGATTATGATTTCTTGGAGACAGCTGAGTTTGGTAAAAGAACTGAAACTGATGAACTAGCAGCAACACCAGACAGGGAGAAAGCTGAAGGATCATATCCTGGAAAATAATCATAATTAGGTTCAATTTGCATTTAAGAAGACCCAAACCATAATAATAGTCTTTTAACATTTTATTTTACTGTATTAAGGTCAAGATTTTCACTATATTATATCTCAATATTGAATTTTATCCCTATATATTTTAATTTTATTGAATATTTTCATTATTTATTAATTATTGAATAAAAAGTAACTTAATTGGAATATTTTATGAAATATTCTGTTTATACAAGTAGCAAATTTAAGTTAATTTTGTTATTTTTATTTAAAAATCAATAAAAATTGAAATTATAACGACAAATTAAATAAAATTGAATATTTCGTAAAAATTAAACATTGACCAATTATATTAAAAATTTTAACTTTAATCTTATTTTAAAGTCAACAAATTTCTCATATACAATCATGATATTATTTATTTATTTAAAAAAATCAATGTTTAATTTAAATCTCAAAAGCCCAAAATTAAAAGACCCAAGGGTCCAGATTCTCCAAAACACAAACCCAACGGGCCTAACTAAAAAAAAGCCTATTACAAGCCCTAAAATGAAAGAAGAAACGTTTGGGTTTAGGGTTTCCCTGTATATAATGATCAGGCTTCGTCTCATTTCTCTTACCTACCTCGTCTGCTTCCCTTTTCTCTAGGCTTTTTCTCTTTCTCGCCTCTGACGAGAAGCTGATGCTTCCATGGTTCACGTCAGTTTCTACCGCAATTGTAAGCTAACCCCATTCTCTTTTTCCCCACTTTACCCTCTTTCTTTCTTCTAGGTTTTTTAATTGCCTAATCTGTAGTTTCAACTGAGTTCGTATTATACTATGGAGGTTTTTGTTTTCCCGTTTTTATTTCTTTCATTTTAATTGTTTTTGGGTTCTCACGAATGGGTATTTCTATTTAGCTATTATAATACCTTTTAAGCTTCTTTTTAGTTAACAATGTAGCTGGGTTATTTTGTTTGATATAGTTTAGGATGTTAGAAATGATATTTATCTATGATTTTGCTTTTTTTTGTTTTTATTAGCCATTTTGATCTATTTGTTACCTGTTGGTTACTCAATTTGAACACTGTTTGGTAAATAAAGAGAAGATTATTGTATGGTTGACTTTGCAGTTAGAAAGATTTCAACTTTGAGGTCTCGGGTTTGAATCTTGGGGATGGCAGGGTGGGATTTATGAGTGGGAGAGTTTGCTTGTTTTGTAGCACATATGTATCAAAGCAATAGTAATTGGTTGATCAGTTTCATGTTAGTCTTGGATCCTAACTGAGAAATGTGCTTTTTAAGCTTTATGGGTTTTGCTGTTCATATGTGTCAGAACAATAGTATAATTGGTTGATTAGTTTCATGGTAGTCTTTGATCCCTATCCGAAAAATACTTTTTTAGCTCTATCGGTAATGCTGTTTTTGTTGATTTTGCCTCAAAAGTTAAAAACGAATAAGCTTTATAATCTGTTTGGGCTCCATTTGGAGTTTTAGGTTATTCGACTCTGACTTACTAAGTAGTTGTAATCAGAGTATTATTATTATTTATTATTATTATTATTATTATTGGGGGAAAAATATGTTGGTTGTAGATGGGAAGACCTTTAAGAAGCCAGAGGCGGTCCATACGAGAAGGAACCGTTTGGTGCTGAGTTGAAGCTTGTAGGAGAGTATGGGCTCCGATGTAAGAGGGAGTTGTGGGAGGGTTCAGTATGGCTTTGAGCCGCATCCGAAATGCTGGCTAGGGACCTTCTCACTCTTGATGAGAAAGGAACTCTCGTCGTATTTTTGAAGTGAAGCACTTCTTTCGTAGGATGAACAGGTAATGGACTTTTGGATGAGAGCCAGAACAAGCTCGATTATGTCTTGGCTTTGACTGTTGAGAACTTCCTTGAGCGGCGCTTGCAAACACTTGTGTTCAAGGCTGGTATGGCCAAGTCAATTCACCATGCTCGCGTCTTGATTAGGCAGAGGCATATCAGGTAAAGGTTTACTTTTTTTCTAAATATACAGTTGGTGGCTGTTTTTTTTCAAATCTTGTTGGACAAGTGAAATAGTATATAATATATTGAAACTTGAAGTTGGTAGTTGTGCTTGTGATTACTGTGTTGATGTTTTGACATTTATGTTGTTCTTAGAAGGTGCAGTTATTATCTTGCACATGGTATATCTGTTAATTATGTTCATTTCCACATTTACCAGCCAACAAAGAATTTATGTGATTAGCTGTGACTAGTTCTCTTATAAATTCCTTAGCTGGTTGCTGATGTGCCAATTTGGCTTCAGGTTTTCAAGTTGTTGCAATTTATTGCCTTGTGCTTTCCTGCCTTTGCATATTCCTATATGCGATTTCTGGTTTTCAATTTCTTGTCTGAAAGATGTTATAGATCCTCTGAATGTTGTATCAAGGTGTCTGCTCTGTCATTGATAGGGTTGGGAGGCAGGTTGTCAACATCCCATCGTTCATGGTGAGGGTTGACTCACAAAAACATATTGACTTCTCTCTAACAAGTCCATTTGGAGGTGGCCGCCCTGGAAGAGTGAAGAGAAAGAACCAGAGAGCAGCTGCCAAGAAGGCTGCTGGTGGAGATGGTGATGAAGAGGAAGACGAGTAAACCTAAGGCTACTACCGCCACTAGGAACCCTTTAAAAGGCTCTGCGTGGAACTTACCATCTCCTTCATTATTAGACATGGTTTGAGTTTTGTTTCCACACCTTTATTGTAGTGGATCTTGGTATGTGTTTTTCATTTATTATTATGTTTTTTCCTGGATTAGAAGTGAATTGAGCATTAATTGTGTTGGTCTAAGATTAAAATGTTTTAACTTTGGTCATTTATACTAGTTGCTCCACCATGATGTCATCTGCTTTTACCCAAAATCTTAATCAAGTAGCAATATTTGGTGTGATGTGGTCACTGGTTCAATTAAGAATTCATGGAATCATGCCACTACCAAATTTGACTTTATAGTCATAATATGCCTATAGCATTAAAGATTTTTGTTGTGGACCTTTGACCCTTTAGGGATTTGGTTGGTGCCTTCTTAACATTGAAAATTTATCATATTTTGGCCAAGTCAGATGTTGTTATAATCTTAATTTGCAAGTAATTGCCTTGTGCAATATTTGTCTTAAAGTCCAAGGAACAGTTAGTGAAGAATAGAAAAATAAATGCCGTCTCTGCTTAAACAACTTGAAATATTCATGGAAAATGACCTGATTTTGTATGAATTTGCATTAACAAACCCATTTCTGGTTAGGAATGGAGGATAAAAACGTAGCCTATTTCCCTTGGATGGATGGAAACAGGGAAAAAATTTGTTGTTTACAAAGGAAATTCTAAGGAATGTTTGCAATAACCGATGTCATCTTTCCGATATGCCTGTCTTATCCAGAAGCTACAAGGATTGTTTCTTTCCAGACCGGAAAAGTGGTAGAAGACCAGACCATGTGCCTCGTCTTCTTCATGTTAGTTGAAGAAACTCTCGAAGTTTGATCTCTTTGCAGAGCACACAGGGACTCTTTTGTGGGGTTAGGGGCCCATTTGTCCAAAATCTGCTGGACCAGTTTGTCCCTTAATGGTTGAAATAGGCCTCAAAAAGTAATAGCAAATTAAGGAAACAACAAAAAAAAAGGCTCCGTCAAAGCAAGCCAAGTCTTTTGTTGTCAACAATCATAGCTGATATTCCAATTGCTTCAAGAATGCAAGTAAAAAAGGAAAGATTCATAAACTTGTTTTTTTGATACTACAAGGGATAAAAAAGATCACATTAGCTGACCAATGAGTCCATTGGCAGAACTCCTTCAGTCTTTCCACACTATTCTAGCCTAATACTCATCACCTTCATCTTCATCCCCTTCAGCAGATTCTGCGCCAACTTCCTCATAATCCTTCTCAAGAGCAGCTAAGTCTTCTCTAGCTTCTGAAAACTCACCCTCCTCCATACCCTCACCAACATACCAATGCACAAATGCACGCTTGGCATACATCAGATCAAACTTGTGATCAATCCTTGAGAACACTTCAGCCACACTTGTAGAGTTAGAAATCATACAAACTGCCCTTTGAACTTTGGCCAAATCGCCACCAGGCACCACAGTAGGAGGCTGGTAGTTAATACCACACTTGAACCCAGTTGGGCACCAATCGACAAACTGGATAGTCCTCTTAGTCTTGATTGTTGCCACAGCAGCATTCACATCCTTAGGCACCACATCACCTCTGTACATCAAGCAGCAGGCCATGTATTTCCCATGGCGTGGATCGCATTTGGCCATCATAGAAGCTGGTTCAAAAGCACTGTTAGTGATTTCTGCTACCGATAGTTGCTCATGGTAGGCCTTTTCAGCAGAAATGACTGGTGCATATGAAGAAAGCATGAAATGGATTCTAGGGTATGGGACTAAATTGGTCTGAAATTCTGTTACATCCACATTCAGAGCACCATCAAATCGCAGAGATGCAGTCAGGGAAGAAATAACCTGTAAAACAATCAAAACATTATCAATATCAGTATACCTCAAAACAATCAAAACTATTTGTCAATTATTGTTTGAGAAATTCCAAATTTTGTACCTGAGACACCAGCCTATTGAGATTGGTGTAAGTAGGCCTCTCGATGTCGAGAGATCTTCGGCAAATATCATAGATAGCTTCATTATCAAGGAGAACTGCTACATCAGTGTGCTCTAAGAGAGAATGAGTTGACAGAACACTATTATAAGGCTCTACAACAGATGTAGAAACCTGAGGGGAAGGGTAAACAGTGAAACCGAGTTTTGATTTCTTGCCGTAGTCCACAGAGAGCCTTTCAAGAAGCAGAGAACCAAGACCAGATCCTGTTCCACCACCAACAGCATGGAATACCAAAAACCCTTGAAGTCCAGTACAGTTATCTGCTAGTTTCCTGATCCTGTCAAGGCAGAGATCCACTATTTCCTTGCCAACTGCACCAATAATTGCCCTCCAAGTTAGTTTATTGTACTGACAGTTGATTCAAGGGGAAAACATTTCTTAAACACTTTTTCTTACTTGTATAATGGCCTCTGGCAAAGTTATTGGCAGCATCTTCTTTGCCACTAATGAGCTGTTCAGGGTGGAACAATTGGCGGTAAGTCCCGGTCCTGACTTCATCAATAACAGTTGGTTCCAAATCCAGAAACACAGCACGAGGAACATGTTTTCCGGCTCCTGTTTCACTGAAAAATGTGTTGAAAGCATCATCTCCTCCTCCAACTGTCTTGTCACTTGGCATTTGTCCATCAGGCTGCACCAAAAACACAGAACTACTAAAATACTTAATACCCAACAAAGAAAAAGAGGAAAATTTTGAGTTTATGTCGAAAAAAGGAAGAAGGAACGACCTGAATGCCATGTTCAAGGCAGTAGAGCTCCCAACAGGCGTTGCCAACTTGGATACCAGCCTGACCAATGTGGATTGAAATGCACTCTCTCATTTTTGTTAGTGAAAATAAAAAAGAAGATTGATTAGAAAAGCAAAAGGGGAGGTGCCAAAGACGTATACAAAGACGCCCGGAACAAGAAATAGAAGAATGGGTAGTGAAGGAAATGAGGAAATGGGAGAATTCTTGAGGATATATATACTGGAAATAGATTGAAAAAATGGGCCGTTTGGAACGGCTATAAAATTGGGAGTTTTCCAAGGTAGAAAAACGGCTATAAATTTTGAATAAAAGAGATTGGTGGTGGTGGGAACTGGGACGCACGTAGTGGACCGTTAAGGGATTTGAAATTTGAAAATTGAATGGCGAACCGCCTCGAGAAACCTATTCCCTCTGGACTGGGCTTGTGGGTGTGAACCAAGTTGGACGCTTACTATGGATTTTGAACCCAATGTGAAACTCTGAAACCACTTTTCATTGCCCAATGCCCACACTGTAATGAAAATATGTGCATTGAATATAAATCTAGTTTTTGGGTCCAGAGTCAATGTTTTGATGGGTACTGTTAGTGTTGTTTGGATCCAGATTCAGGGTCTATCGGGGAGCTCAATTGAAAGATTCTCACCACATTGGAGGATCCATTTTAAAACTGGATCTCTACAGTTGTGAAAATGCACTTTCCAATCGGACTCTCAAAACTCTCAAATGGATTGTTTTGATGTGATGGGCACTCTAATATTAGTCGTTTGGGAGGCAACAGGTCAACTGATGACTTCTTCAGGTATTCCGGAAGGCGAAACCGAAACCCAAAAGTTCATGGGTAGAAAGAACATGGTGGTGGAAAAGCAGTTTCCTACTCTTCGGCCATGGCCATGCCTAATAATGACTGTTAGTAAAAAAAATTTTAAAAAAGAAAAGACGAAATGAACTGAAATTATAACATTGTATTGTATGGGGAATCTCTCTTATAGGTCCATTTCATTGATGTTTTTATCATAATCAAATTTTCTTTTATCTGTACAACTTTATCCTTTCAATCTTTATATAACCAGTGCAAGCAGAAGTTCAAAAAGGCCATTAAAACTATTTTTACTTATTTTGTGGTAAAGGGGTTGATGCTGATGCAAGTTACAAAAACTGGTGTTATTAGAGATGTAACTGATTCATATTAAAAATATTTATTATAACTTCTAATTTATTTGTTTAATATAAATTTAAATATTATTTAATTATATTAAATTTAATAAATCATAATCTGTCTATAATAATCATTGTAAAATGTTTGTTCATTTTAATTTGAATATAAATAGATACAATATAATTTCTATTATATTTTTGTATAAATTTTAAAATATTATTCACAATTATTTTTTAAATTTAATAAGCAAATTAAACAAAAAATAATAAAATCTATTCGTGAATTTTTTTTTTTGGTTTATATAGTATAATTTTTTTTTGTTTATATAGTATAATTTCATAGTAAATTAACTAGTAGTGATTTGAAACTTTTATGCAGTTGTCAATGGTGGCAACCGGCTAAGGTTTGCACGGCTAAGCCCAAGGTTCATAGGATAGGCTTTTGTTCATACTTGTATAGCCCACAATGGAGCCTAAACCTTTAAAGGAAGTGGACAGAGGGCTGATAAATGCTCACCGAAGTGGAAAGGGTTTTCCTTTCCCCTCCCTCCGAAGATCAAATAATCAATTTTTCCAACAAACCAAGAAACACCACCTTGACTTGGAGGAATAGCCACTCATGAAACTTACCAAACAAAAAAGCCTGATCACATGTCAAAAGTCACCTAATTATATAGTTCGATGATTATTCATTATTTGCTGTTATTGAAAGTAATAATTTTCAATTTCAAAGAGCCCCAAAAGGTTAAGCTATGTGTGGTGAATAATTAAGATTATGACAGCTGAAGATCCCCTTCCAAAATTGCCAGTAGGTATGGGGGATTCATTTCTCTTTGAAGATGGACCGAAAGAAGGCCCAGTAAATTTCCTTTGCATTTTCCTCTTATGGCTACCATAATTCACCACATCATTTCACTATGAAATCTGCTTTTAGTTGGAGAGTAGTCATTCTACTGATTTCATCAGGATTTGCCATTATTATTTTTTGTGTACTTTCATCAATTTGTCAGGAAAACCTTTTCTTTTACCTTATCCTCTTAAAGATCAATTTTTGCATGAAAAAATCCTTTAAGGACAGTTACTGGTCAGATCAAACTATGTTCCTAGAGCAAAGGAGAAGAAAAATATGGTAGGTTTTGTATAATGACTGATTCAAAGGAGACATGAAAGCATTCTCCTGGTTATTGGAAAAAAAAAGCATAGACTAATCATTTCATATTTACTTGTGAGATGTGTAGGCCAGTTTTAGCTTATTCTCATTTCAAGCTTGTATCAGCAATGATGAAAATAATGATGGATTAGTTGGGAGTCTTGGACTTGTCAGCAACAGATAATCATCAATTTTATTTATCTTATTGCATACAAAATAAGCTGAAACAGATACAGCGTCAAGAGATAAGATTCCAATGTGTCCAAGACTCAACATAAGCTTAGACATTGACTCCTAATGTCCATCATTGCTTTCCATTTGCATACAATGCCATTTCACTCAAGCTATTTCTATTCTTTTTTCTATTTTATTATGAACTAAAGTGAATTTATAATGAAGCCTAATTGTAGCTATCAACACTCCACCTTCTACTTAACTATGATTATAATAGGAATGGTAAACTCCTGTTTTATAATTAAAAATTAATTTTTGATAATTTCGAATCTATGATATAAACTAAGTATCGGCAAGATGCTTATAGATACCTTTGAGAAAAAGATAGCTTTACAAGCTTTCAATACGATGAAAATGGAATTGACATGAAATGAGGTATAATTATCGGGTTCGGTTCAGATAGTGATTGATTATTGTATTTGTATGGTTGATAGAACAGATTGAAGGATTGTTAAATGTATATCCTAGCTATGAAAGAACATCTGAAGATAAAACCTAAAACCTAGAATTATTTGAAGAAAGCATATCACATGCCTACACAGTACAAATTGTTATTAAAACATAAACAAGGACCAAAATTTCTCACCAAAATGGATCTAATGTTCCCAAAAGAGCCTACAAAACAACCAAAGGCCACTTCATTTCATTTATAAATCCTTATGGCTTCAAAACAACTTTGGCTTTGTTTTATATCACTAATAATAAAACTTTTTAACCCTAAGGGTTGGAGCCATTGGGGGCCAAAGGAAACATACCAAGAACATTCAAGTTTTGAAACATTAGCCGACCATTTTCCTACTCTTGGTCTCTTAGTGACCTTTGATCATGACATTTAAATCACCAAAGCATCTTCTTAATCAAATTTCTTCAATTTGTCATTGTCCTTAAACTTTCCTTAAGCATTTTGATAGATATAAAAACATTATTTTGATAAGACCTTAAAATATTAAAATATGACAAAAGCATTCATAATTTGAATTCAAGGCTTAATTGAGTTTATTTATGTAATTATATGAGAAATTAATATCTAATAAATTTAAAGTTTAAATTTTAACACCTTCTCTATCTTCAAACTACCATCTCTTTTGTATTAAAAATTCATAATTCTTTTAAGAGACAACAAAGCTTTTGTAATTTGACGAGATAATTTAAGACTTTCAAAGTGATCAAGATTATAAATAAAATTATTGTGCAATTAATTTATATATTAATCCATTTACACTAATTAAGGGTTAGTTCAAGTCCTAAGATGCTTGACAATGTTTGATGCTATAATGTTAAATAATTAGATAAGAACTCAAAATATTAAGATCACCAACAAATCATATGATAATTTGATGGGATAGTTTGGGCTTTATTATATAACAACAAGACGATGAATAAAACATGATTATCATATTATATAAAATAGTTTGCTACTATATTTTACATTAACTAAGGGTTAGTTCAAGTGCTAAGATGCTTGACTTTGTTTGATACTAATCATTTCATTTTAGAATTCAACAAGTCCATGGCTTTGAGCTATGCAATGTGGGGTTAAACCAAACCCTACAATTATAGGAAATTTGAAGCAAAAACAGCTTTGAAGCCGAACCTTTATGAACTCAATAATATAAGGGAAACATTTGGAAGCCATTGGGGCCATTTAAACCTTTAGACGGTTGACTCTTTTCTTTTTTCTTTTCATATTCAGAAGTTTTTATATCGGCAAAACAAACATAATTTATAGGACTATGAAACTGACATTACCTGTTTAGACCACAACAAGTCATGGGATTATGATTAAGACAGGGCCTATTTCTACTTCTATGGCTTCTTACACTCTGGTTATCGGAAAGCATGCAATTTTTAATTTGGTCGGAAAACAAGAAGAAAAGTAATGCAACTTTCATGGGATTTTGCCTGTGTTTTCTGATACAGGCTAGGCCATGTTGACCCTGATTCAAACCTGCTTAAATCGATATCTTGGGCTACGCAAAGCAGGTTAGGGCCTGAACAAGCAGAAGGACCAACCAGGCAAGCCAGGTTGAGTTTCTGGTCTAGCCCAACAAGCTAGCAAGCAAATACATTTGAGATTGAGGAAAGGACGGAGGATGAAATGATTTTATTTTGATGCCAAAAAAAAAAAAAAAAAGCAAATGATTTCTGATTTCACCCCTGGGATGTGACATGAAGCACGATTGTGAGAATATTTTAGGAGCGTTTCACTTTAGGACAAACAGATGGTGATGTAGATTTGCATTTTCATCTGTGACATGTTTTATAAAAGATTGCAAATTGAGGTGAGGAGAAGGAGAAAAGGTTTCCCATTTGATTTAGCCACCTTACCTACTTTTCTTATGGCAATTTTCCTCTCCTATAATTTTGCTTTGATTGTCAAACGATTCATCTCCCTTATCCTTAAAACACTTTGTACCATGCAACTTAGAATGAAAGAGTTCCATTTCTACACGTATATTCATTACTTTTGTTTTATAAAAAAAAATTGAATATGAAAGGAAACAAAACCTATAAAATTGAATAAAAATATGTCAAAAAAAAATTAGCAAACATATAAGATGTAGTCTATAGTTTTTTTTATTTTTTTATGAAGAATTATATGTATCAAAATTTGAATATTAAATTTATTAAATGTTATTTCTTCAAATGATTATATGAACTGATTAAATTAAATATCAAATTCTGTAATAGATAATTTTATTATGTAATATATACTAAGACAATAATTTTGAAGTCGAAATTATTTAAATAGTAAATGTAATTTTAGTGGAAAGATAAAATCAATTATTTTCTACAATTTATTTTTTAAAAAAAAGCTCATAGTTTTGAAATATATACCATTCCCTTGTTAATATATCTCATATCTCACATCTAACATATACATATGGAGTATTTGGATTAAATCTATACTTTACATTTTCACAATAATTTGAAAATAATGTAGATTTGACTTGAAAACATTCCTAGTTGCTACCAATTTGAATTCGTCTCAATTATCAATAGAAAATGCTAATGTATGGCTAGTCATTACCATCACACATCATTTTTTTTTTATGAGAAACATTATCCTTTGATTTTTCATTATAAATTGTCACATTGTTTTGAATGGTACATATAACCACCCTTTTGAAATCAAAGGGAAATTAGACAAAAGGAAATAGGTTTTATATTAGAAGACACTTACAAAATTTTTGAAACTTCATTTAATTTATTCATGTAATCATTTTTAAAAGATAATATTTAAGAGGTCCAAGAGTTAAATCTTAACATATGCAATCTGTGACATCTTTTGTAAAATCAACATATCCAAAACAAAGAAGATATCCTGTTTAGTGATCTAAACAGAAACAGTCCTTTCTGACTCAATCTAATTCCAACCCTGCTAATGCTCCCAAAAATGTGATATGAATGATGAATTCTCCAATTTCCCAGGCTATGTTCTTTAGCCAGGAAGATAATGAAAACAAAAAACCTTTTGTGACACTTGAATTGTAATAGTAACTGCAGGAATAATGAGGAAAAACTAACACATTTTTCCCTGGAAGAAGATCGTTTTTGGAATTAGGATACAGTTAAAAAAAAAAATGGCCAAAACCAAAAAGAATGGTAGCCAAGTTTCTGAAATCTGAACCTTTTCTGATGGCATTCATACAATATTAGGAGCTAGCAATTTATCATGGACTTCCAGGTTTAGCAGAACTAAACTATATATATCTTCAATGTTCAGAAATAATGGTGGCTGAATTGACTGTGTACCATTGGGGTTCAGGAAACTACTGTTTCCCCGCTGAAGATTTGCGTCATCCACTGTATAAATGCTTCCCAAAGATTATTTTCAGGAAGCTTTGAATTTGCTTGTTGTTATTTGAAACAAAGCAGTAAAAAACACTACTTGGGTCTTTTTTTGTTCTTCATTTTGAAAATAATTGAAGCATTATTTTTGTTGCCATTTGGCCTATGTCATGTCTAGTTGGGTGATTTGTTAGCTTGAAGAAGATTTGATGAAGATTGTGAAGCTATGATCTACATGCTTTTATATAGAAGGTGTATTATTTTGAAGATTTTATATAGCTCTTGGTATTGGATATCACAATTAATTTATTTCAAGTTCATGTTGGTATAACATTCAATTATTACCAGCTTCAAAAAAAAAATTTTTCAATTATTACCAAGAACCTTCCCATATCCTACCTTGTTAGAATACTTTATTGTTTTAATTTTAATGCAAAAAAGCATATGAGTCATATTTTCCTCCATATATATATATATGTTTATTCCAAATAGAATTATACCAAAATAAAATTAAATTGATTAATAGATTGATTTTATTGAGATGTTAAGTATTAACTTGTTTAATTGATGATTTGATTGATATATTAAAAACAATAAATTAATTCTATTAAAAAAATAAATTAAAATTTAATTTAATTAATTTATATAAGTAACTTAAAAAAATGACATTTAATAACTCTGAATTTATTTTATCTCCTTTGTAAAAAAAGTTATGGAGACAAGTTTTTTTTTTGCACAATTAATTAGCATAAAATTAAAGGAAAATATGTTGTCCCTTCAAGAAAGTTTCTTTTTGCTCTATGATGAGATTCTCATATGCTAAATTTGTTCTAAAATTCAATATATTTAAGTGCAATCTGATAGAAATTTATTCACAAACTTAACGGTGGGTGAATCTATGGCTTTGGCAACAAAATCTAGTGTTCACAACTCATTGGAGAAAATGCTTCAGGTAGCAAACAAATACCAGTGGATAAAAAGAAGTAATAGAAACCAAAAATTATGAAGGCTGGCATCCTGAGAAAGGAGGCTGCCAACGACACATGCAAAGTGTCAGCAAATGAAAGGGCTTCTGCAAATGACTCAGAAAGTAATTTTCTTTTTCATGGCAATTTAGAATCAAAAGACAAAAACTTTACACAGACAACCAGAAGGGAAAGCAGAAATAAAGTTCACAGAAAATACAATGAAGAGCCAATCAAATCATGACAAGTAAATTACCTTCATTTAATGCCGTTCAACTTTGTATTAATTCTCAAAGGGTAAATTTTCTTGGCAATACCAACCAAGGCAGAGCAGAAAATACTAACAATTTTTGCAGTTAACCAGATTCTCTCATTCTAGTTAACCAGGATCAGAAAACCAACTTCCTATTTTGCAACCACAGTTAAAGTGCCAGTTCAAACATGGCTTTCATTTTTTTGGCAAAATGGCATCTTTCATTTCATTTTTACAAAACTATAGTTTCACTTGGTGAAAATTTCCTTTTTAAAGTTAACTACAACTTAAAAGAAGGATTTAATTTAGTTAATTTTAACATTCTTAAAAAAATCTAATAATAAATAAATATTTATTAATAAAAATTTAATTTTGAGTTTGAATCATCTCAATAATTTTGTATCGGTGTTAATAACAAATGTATGATCCTGAAATTGAGAATTGCAAAATCTGTATAGTTTTTGGTTGAAGAAAAAACAGGTTACTCTGTTTTTATTGAATAAAATAAAAGTCAAAATAGTTATTTTTTGGCTGAAAGTCTTTTGGTTTGACCAATGGTCTTAACGCATGCGTTCTCTCTCTTTCTGTTTTCTTACAAGTTACAATAACTTTGCGATTTCTCTCTCTATATATACACTCACTCTAACACACTGTCGTTGTGCTGCTTTGCTCTTTATTTTTTCTGCCTTCTCTTCAGCTTAGTTCTCGAACTGATAAACTCAAAAACGGCATTGTCAGATTTTCGAGACCTTGAAAAAGAGGAATAGAGAGAGAAAAAGAAAGGGTCTTTAGATCTCTCATTTCTTCTTTCACCCTCAGATCTTCTCCCCTTCTTTCTCTTTCTTTCAATGGCTATTCTCACTCAAAAACTTTAACTCAAATTCCCCTGAGCTAACTCATTGAAGCTCTTCCTTCCTTCCTCTCTCTCTCTGCATTCAGAACTGGTGTTAGCTTTGGTTTGAGTTTACTATGGCTGAAACACCAGAAACAAAGGCAGTCCCAGAAGCAGAGAAGAAGAGAGAACAAAGCTTGCCATTTTACCAACTTTTCACTTTTGCTGACAAATATGATTATTTGTTGATGATCTCTGGTAGCTTGGGAGCTATAATCCATGGTTCCTCAATGCCTGTTTTCTTCTTATTATTTGGTGAAATGGTTAATGGCTTTGGCAAAAACCAATCTGATTTGCCCAAAATGACTCATGAAGTTTCCAAGGTCACTTTTTCCCCTTTTTTCATCAAAAAATATATTAAAAACCAGAACTTTTCCTTTCACTGTTCTATTTTAAACTTTATTATAATGTTTTTAGATCTAAGATCTGATAAATTTTTCCTGTTCTTTTTTGGTTGTTTAATGCAGTATGCACTCTATTTTGTGTATCTTGGTCTTATTGTCTGCCTATCATCTTATGCTGGTATATTTCTATTCCTTGTTCTTATTTGTTTTTTGGGTTAATAGTTTAGACTTTTTTCTTTTAAATGTATACAATCTTCGGAAGGAATCGTTCAGGCAACATTACAGTTGTTGCACCGTGCATGGTCTCGGTCATAAGTGACTCGTGTAGTGTAGCCAGTTCAACCAAATTGGACTGGTGGGTGCGTGCCCACGTGGTCTCAAGGGTGTCTCTTTGTCTTTTTGTTCTTCACTTGTCAATCCCAATACCCTTTTAATAAAATTCTCACTTGCATTTGTTTTTATAATTTTATTCAACACTATCTCCCACAATCGTCCCATCTCTTTCATTGTAAGTACATTTGATTCTTAATGTGGTGGGTAGCTGTTAATTTTATCTGTTAAACAAAGTTAAATTTTACCATTTTTTTTCTTTTTTGGTTGCCAGAGATTGCATGTTGGATGTACACTGGGGAAAGGCAAGTAAGTACATTGAGAAAGAAGTATTTGGAAGCAGTTTTGAAGCAAGATGTTGGATTCTTTGATACTGATGCAAGAACTGGGGATATTGTTTTCAGTGTTTCAACTGATACTCTACTTGTCCAAGATGCCATCAGTGAGAAGGTTGGTCGGTTTGGTTGTTTTTGATCTTTTTGCCTTTCTGGAATTTCTTTTGCTTTTTTTTTTTTTTTTCTGTTTTGTGGGTGTAATCAGATGCTGGCCATGGCGTTAGTTTTGCTTATATGGGTTTGTTGGCTATACATAAATGCGGGCCCCTAACCTTATTATTTTGGGTTTGAACATTTGAACGTGCACGTTAGCATATCTGTGTTATCGTGTACCTGCATCTTTGTTTTGACGTTTGCTTTATGTGATCAAGAGAATACACTAACGGTTTGGATGAAATAAAATTTTCGTTTAAGCATTAAGGACGAATCGCATTAAGGACGAATCATTATTCACTAATTGTTTCTTTTTGGTGAAATTTAAGGTCGGAAACTTTATCCATTATCTGTCAACTTTCCTGGCTGGTTTGGTGGTTGGTTTTGTATCAGCATGGAGGTTAGCCCTGCTAAGTGTGGCAGTGATCCCTGGAATTGCCTTTGCTGGTGGTTTATATGCATATACTTTGACCGGCCTCACTTCTAAGAGCCGGGAATCCTATGCAAATGCTGGCATAATTGCCGAGCAGGTGAGCTATTTTGGCCCAAAAAGCATGGAATAACTTTTAATTATGTCTAACCGGCATATCTTGTTTGTTGGATTATGGACTGTCTATATGTTTTATGGTGATGAAGTCTTGGTACATGGTCTTCTAGTGAACACTCAAGGGAGTAGCTTTTCATTGAACTTTATCACTGTCACTTTCCAAATTCCTGATGGAATTTCAAATTTGATTTTTAATTTTGTTATCAGAAATATGTCCGGTATTACAATTTAAGACCTTCATCTTTGGGAGATTTTCAGGTTATTAATCTAACCTTTTACTGCCTGGTTATCTAAGTCTTTAATTGTCTGGACAGGCCATTGCACAAGTTCGTACCGTTTACTCATATGTTGGTGAGAGCAAGGCCCTTAATTCCTACTCAGATGCAATACAGAACACACTAAAACTTGGATACAAGGCTGGGATGGCCAAGGGCTTGGGGCTAGGGTGTACATATGGCATAGCTTGCATGTCTTGGGCTCTTGTTTTCTGGTATGCTGGTGTTTTTATCAGGAATGGACAGACTGATGGAGGGAAGGCATTTACAGCAATTTTCTCTGCCATTGTTGGTGGCATGTAAGATCTTAAAGCATATGTATCTTATCTTCTGTGATTGAAGGTGAATTGAGCTTTACTGTGGATTATATTGTATAAAAAATTTACTATTGCAGGAGTTTGGGTCAGTCATTTTCCAATCTTGGGGCATTTAGTAAAGGAAAGGCAGCTGGTTACAAGTTGATGGAGATTATCAAGCAAAAGCCCTCTATAATCCAAGACGATTCAGATGGAAAAGTACTGCCTGAGGTTAATGGCAATATAGAATTCAAGGATGTGACTTTCAGCTATCCATCAAGACCAGATGTTATCATCTTTCGCAATTTCTCAATTTTCTTTCCTGCAGGAAAGACTCTGGCAGTTGTTGGTGGTAGTGGTTCTGGGAAGAGTACAGTTGTCTCTCTGATAGAGAGGTTCTATGATCCTAACCAGGGTAATTAAGAGCCTTTGTCATACTTGAAGAATGAATTCTTTTCCCATGGATGTTAGAGCTGATATTTCTTTTTGGCTAAGCAGGACAGATTCTGTTGGATAATGTGGACATAAAGACACTGCAACTAAAATGGTTACGTGATCAGATTGGACTGGTGAATCAAGAGCCTGCCCTCTTTGCAACTACTATCCTTGAGAACATACTCTATGGAAAGCCTGATGCAACAATGGATGAAGTGGAAGCTGCTGCTTCTGCCGCAAATGCCCACAGCTTTATTACCCTACTTCCTAATGGGTATAAGACTCAGGTTAGTCTCCTTGATTTTAATATTCTAGTTCAACTTTAATTCTTAGCTCCATATTAATTTGTATCGCAAAATGTTGATTTTTTGTGCACTTCAATGCAAATTCAGGTGGGAGAGCGAGGAGTCCAACTCTCTGGTGGCCAAAAACAGAGAATCGCAATTGCTAGAGCCATGTTGAAGAACCCCAAGATCTTACTCCTCGATGAAGCTACAAGTGCACTTGATGCAGGCTCTGAGAGTATTGTTCAGGAAGCTCTTGATCGTCTTATGGTTGGGAGAACCACTGTAGTTGTTGCACATCGCCTCTCCACCATAAGGAATGTTGATTCAATAGCTGTTATACAGCAAGGACAAGTTGTTGAGACGGGAACTCATGAAGAATTGATTGCTAAGGCAGGGGCATATGCATCATTAATCAGATTTCAAGAAATGGCGGGAAATAGAGACTTTGCTAACCTATCAACACGCCGTTCACGTTCATCACGTCTAAGTCATTCACTGTCAACTAAGTCCTTAAGCCTCCGGTCTGGCAGCTTGCGGAACTTGAGCTATTCTTACAGTACTGGTGCTGATGGCCGAATAGAGATGGTGTCAAACGCCGAGACAGACCGTAAAAATCCTGCTCCAGATGGCTATTTCTGCCGGCTTCTCAAGCTGAATGCTCCTGAATGGCCCTATTCAATTATGGGAGCTGTTGGTTCTGTGCTTTCTGGATTTATCGGACCAACTTTTGCCATTGTGATGAGCAATATGATTGAGGTCTTCTACTATACAAATCCTACCTCTATGGAAAGAAAGACAAAAGAATATGTTTTCATCTATATTGGAGCTGGTCTATATGCTGTCATCGCATATTTGATTCAGCATTATTTCTTCAGTATTATGGGAGAAAACCTCACAACAAGAGTGAGGAGGATGATGCTTGGAGGTATTAATTTGCAACTACATGTTGACTTATCTTTTCTAATTTTCAGGAGGGGAGGGAGGAGATACTGCTATATGTATACATTGCCTAGCAATTTAATGGTATGTTTGTTAATTTTGTGGTGTTTTCTTCTCTTCAGCAATTCTGAGGAATGAAGTCGGATGGTTCGATGAGGAAGAGCACAATTCAAGCCTTCTTTCAGCCAGATTGGCAACTGATGCAGCCGATGTAAAATCTGCCATAGCCGAGAGGATCTCGGTAATACTACAAAACATGGCTTCACTTCTCACCTCATTCATCGTTGCCTTCATAGTAGAATGGAGGGTCTCTCTTCTCATCCTTGGTACCTTCCCTCTTCTAGTGCTTGCAAACTTTGCTCAGGTAAGCTCACACATTCCACCAATTTCTTTTCCTTCTCTCTCTATCTCTCCCTTCATTTCTAACTAATAATCAAGCTATAATTTTTCCGTTGTGGACTAATGTGGTCCAAGTTCACAGTTCAAAGACCCGAAAACCATGATGCTTGAAAAAATGTTTGCATTTCCGAGGAATAATTTGAACTTATTTAACTGCCACTTTTAGGCAACTTAAGATATTATAAAACAATGTCAGATTTTTTGTTCTTTTTCCTCTCCGGAATCTAACTTCACTTTAACTTTCCATTAAACAACAAAATAAGAAAATGCAACATTGCTCCTCACGACTTTACACGTGCTTCCTCCAAGTTTGGTGCATCAACTTATAGAAATTAACACAAAAAAGAAACCAAATATAATATGACCCCTATGAAATCGCAGTGACCAATAAAATATCCAAGATTCCATGGCCTCCCCATCAGCCTCCATACCACTGAGAAAGTGTTCTTGTTAGTAGCTTATTTTCTCGAGGTTGTAACCTGCTGTATTTTATTTTATTTTTCCTTGGTTTTCTTACCTTAAGTCAAATTTTCAACTTGTCTAGTTTCTCTCACTTTTTTAATGTAATGCACCGACACTGCACCTTACAGTGTATACCAGTTTTTTCTGTCTGATTTTAGAAAACCAAGTGAAAGGGCTTCTGTTTTTTCCTAGGAACACGAGCTTTGGTAGCTTTGTTTTTACTCTCTATCTATCATACCAGATGCCACCAAACTATATGATAGTTTCAAGAGATTCTTGTCCCGTGATCATAAAATTCATGATCTTATATATTTTGAAGATATTGTCTTCTTTTTTCTCGGTAACTTTGTTTTTATTTCCCTGGAGAATGTCAGGTTGCGACAGTAAAACAGTGTTATGGCAGTGCCTAAGAGATAGATAGTGCAATGTAACGATGTAGCTTAGGCACGTAGGGTTGTGAATATTCACACAGTAAAATCCTTGTGTGTTCTTGTCGTTTAAGAGTTTAGGCCTCAGTTTGGGGGGTAGAACCTGGTTTGTTTTTTTCTACTGAGGCCAACTGACCGTTGGTTGTCTCCGTGTGCTGGACAGTGCTCATAGTTGGTGCATGCTTTATAAATAGTGAAATAGGACTACAATTACTTGCAATATGTACAATGTCATAATCACAATCTTGTCCTTGTGGAAGGAACTTTATTTGTCTGGTCCTAGCAATGAAGTTAAGCCTGATTTGGCTTAATTTTGATAGGTCCCACCTTATTCAAGCCAAGGGCCAAGGCAGTGATAACTGTTTGGAATTTGGACAAAGAAGAAGGAAAAAGAATTGAATTGGCCTTACCTAAAATAGAGATCAAATCAAGCACTGAAATTCAATATCACATGTGCACGCACGCTTAGGTAGTGGCTAGATATCAGATTTTGTATCTTTGTGTGCCATTAATAACTGATGTTAGAATGTTAAAGCAGTGTTGGATAAAAACTGACGATAAGATGGTTTCCATTTTATAAGTTCTGAAATGAAAAAAAAATTGATGTGTTTTAAGTTTTACAATCTAACTTTTGTATTATATAAATATTTAACCAGATTACTCCAAAATAGTTTTGTTGCCATAGTAATTGTGTTAGGTTTTGATGACTTCAACTTAGAACTCACTTTGATTGAGTTTGACTCCTCTTTTGCAGTCTTGAGTCTTAAAACCAACTCATATCTAACATGGACAGTTTCCAGACAGTTAATTCTGTTTTATTTTGCACTGTAGCAACTCTCTCTCAAAGGGTTTGCTGGTGACACAGCTAAGGCACATGCAAAGACTAGCATGATTGCTGGTGAAGGTGTAAGCAATATCAGAACAGTTGCAGCCTTCAATGCGCAAAACAAGATCCTTTCACTATTTTGCCATGAGCTCCGAGTTCCACAAATGCAAAGCCTTCGCCGCAGCCAAACTTCTGGCCTCCTCTTTGGCCTATCTCAACTTGCTCTTTATGCTTCTGAAGCTCTCATACTTTGGTACGGTTCCCACCTTGTAAGCAAAGGTGTCTCCACATTCTCTAAGGTTATCAAGGTTTTTGTGGTCTTGGTGGTCACTGCAAATTCCGTGGCAGAAACTGTAAGTCTTGCTCCTGAAATTATTAGGGGTGGTGAAGCTGTTGGTTCAGTGTTCTCCATTTTAGATCGTTCAACCAAGATTGACCCAGATGATCCTGAGGCAGAGCCATTTGAATCAATTCGTGGAGAAATTGAACTCAGGCATGTTGATTTTGCATATCCTTCACGACCTGATGTCATTGTGTTTAAAGACCTTAACCTTCGAATCCGTGCTGGCCAAAGTCAAGCACTTGTTGGGGCTAGTGGCTCTGGCAAGAGTTCAGTCATTGCATTGATTGAACGATTCTATGATCCTACAGCTGGAAAGGTTATGATTGATGGAAAAGATATTCGGAGATTGAACTTGAAGTCTCTTAGGCTTAAAATTGGATTGGTGCAACAAGAGCCTGCCCTCTTTGCCGCCAGCATTTTTGATAATATTGCTTATGGAAAAGAAGGGGCAACTGAAGCTGAAGTAATTGAAGCAGCCAGGGCGGCTAACGTGCATGGTTTTGTTAGTTCATTGCCTGATGGGTACAAAACACCAGTTGGTGAGAGAGGGGTTCAGCTCTCTGGGGGTCAGAAACAAAGAATTGCAATTGCAAGAGCTGTGCTTAAGGACCCAACAATATTATTACTTGATGAGGCCACCAGTGCACTTGATGCAGAATCAGAGTGTGTGCTACAAGAAGCACTTGAAAGGCTAATGAGTGGCCGCACAACAGTGCTTGTGGCTCACCGTCTATCAACAATAAGAAACGTTGACAGCATTGGAGTAGTGCAAGATGGGCGCATCGTAGAACAAGGCAGCCACTCTGAATTGATTAGCCGAGCCGAAGGAGCCTATTCTAGGCTGTTGCAACTACAACACCACCATATATGAGAGAGTTTTTGATTGCAGCAACATGGCCTTGTTGGGCGGTAATTATGTTTGGGACCCCATTTACCTTGTGTTTCCATCTTTCTTTTTTGAATGATGATAGCTGTAGATATTGGAATGTGGAGACTGTATCTTGAGAAGTACTGCCCCATTTCCAATGGGTAGGAAATGTTATATTATTGATATCTATGATGCATAAGCTCCTTGTCTATCCAGTTGGTCAGGACCGTCAGGTGATTGATTTGCTTTGAAATTTTATAATACCTATAAAGTGCAAATCCTAGACACTACCTTTCCAGCCCTCAAGAAACCCTTTTTCTTGATCTAGCTTTTCATTGCATGTGTTTGCTGAAGGGTTCTTTTCTGTTCTAGATGAGGGCGTCTCCTTTTTCATGGCTTCCAAGGCCCACATGGAGTACTGGATGGTTTAGCACTAACAAGATAACACTTACCTCTTTCTAACAAAATATACTGACATATTCATTCATAGCATATGGTAATGAATTATAAAAGAAAAAGATCCTAGGTGCAAAGTTGAAGTCTATGCTGCAAAAATGGATGACATGACCCACTATCTGCATATCTAAATGGCCCAATTTCAAGCAATTTTTTGAGTGAACCTTTAAATGTAGGTACCCCTTTTTTATACTTGAATTCAGTGTGTATTTTCCAAAGTCTCCGTCCCATGTTTTTTGAAAAATGAAAGTGAAGCATGGGCCGTTTCTATCATCAGAATGATTATAGAGTTCATTAAAAGGTGCATTTCTGTACTGGGTATATCATTAAGGTGGAAAATTAAGTAAAGCAAAGGCATGGCAGAGGACAGATGTAGATGGAATGGGGGTTCTCACTTCTCAGTTTGAGGGAAAAAAAAATCAATCATGGTGGGTCATAGATTGATGCTGATTTAAAGACACTTGGCAGAGATGATGGATCATGTCAACATTTCGTATGGTTCCATTGCATTATAAATGCCTGCAAAATTTTTCTGCGTGTTAGGTACTGCTATTGCCTAGCAAGAGGTTTTATTGCTTATGAAGCCATAATAAATTTGTTATCAGGCTCCCAGAACATTACACACAATGCATCTCAAGCAAGATTGCGTTAATCACAAGCCGCCTTATTGAAAAATTTCCCACTCCACAGCTATATTTTTGTATAAAAAAAAGTAAGAAAACCACTGTAAATATCAAATGGAAAGTTATTTCTCCATGAAGTGATCTGTAAACAAAGATTTCAATCAAGGTATTGTTTCACTACATTTTTTTGCAAGTATACTTAATCGCCTTACATGTATATTGTAGTTACAGAAGGTACATCGAAATCAGGTGTAAAACTTTCACTCCAGAAATTAAAGGCTGACATAATCACATGTTGATAAAAAACCCAGTGATAAAATGGCAGAAACCCAGATTGGAATTTAGTGCAGTGTATTCCTGTTAGATTCTTGAGGGGTCCTTTTTGAAGACTTTACCAGTGTCCTGTATCTGCTCAAAAACTATTGGTGAATAGTCTACAAATGTTGACTACCGCTCGTCACATTAGGGTCTGTGTCAGAAAGCTTCAGGCTCGTATTGTTTAAGGCCAGGCCCTGTACCATTTTTGTTTTCTTCTGGCCAAAATGGAGGATAGATAGCATACTCTCCAAGACATTGATGTCTCAAATTGCAGAATTTAATCACATCAAACAATTCCAGTACCTATATGTTGGGCCAATCTACCCTTTACCTCAATTTTGAAGAGAAATTTCTTCATATTTTTATGGATTTGCCAGAATGAAATGAATTTTGATTTGAATTGAAGCACATATCAAGTTACAGATGATGTAAAGTATCTGAAATTTATATGAAAAAGTTTCTTGACATTGTTATTGATACCAAACCAGGACATCCAAATGAATGATTCCATGTTCACTCTTTGCTCACCAATTATTACAATGATTCCCCTTTAATACTTAAAGCAACAATATATGAAACCATGTGATAACAAATATTAATAAAGCAGCCATGCTTATAAAATTTAGAACATTGAAATCTAGCAATAATGGAAGCAATCATGTAAATTTTTGTTATAATTGATGTCCAGACTTAAAAAGAAAAATAAAATTGAAACCATATCTCATTTTAAAGATTAGGACTGAAAATGTCATGGATAGTAGAGTGACTACAAATAATGATTGAGATGTTTAAACCTTTAAGGAGATCAAAGGGCCATATTTTCTCATCTTTCTGCTAAAAACTGTGTAAGATAATGTTAGGGATAAGTCGGCCAACAAATTCTTTCAATAATTCTAAGCAGAATTTGATGGTCATAATGCATAGAAGGTAATCACTGGGGGAGAGAAAGATCCATGTTTTATCAATCAAGGCGCCCAATTTTGGCTGAGTTTTGTTTGTCAGCACTCTTTGGTGAACAGCCCATTGATAAAGGCTTGTCTTTACATATAATTTTTTTTGGTTGTAAATTAAGGGGAAAAATAAATTCGTTGATATGGAATTTAGCTCGATTAATTTTAAGAGATAATATCGAATAAAAATTTAGAATTTAAAATTTAATAATTATATAATTCTTTTTCAAATATATTGCAACATTTTATGTAAAAAAAAAATAGTAACAGATAAGATAACAAGGGAAAATATACAATCCAAAGAAAAAAAAAAGCAGAAGGAAACCAAGAAAAAATGTGGGGTTTCAATGTTTTTCATTTTGAGCCTAAGCCATTTTTTTTTTTTTTTACCTTTTCTATGGCTTTTTTCACTTTGCAGATTCTTTTCCCAGCTGTGTTTTGTTTTGTTTTGCCCCCAAAAAACATTTCTGCCTTCCCCATTTCTTATATTTAATTTGATGAACTTTTATCATAAAGTTTTTACCTATAAACTTATAATAAATACACTAAGGAAAAGACCATATTGGGCCTAATTGCAAACCAATCAATGAATGTGGGTTTTCAGCTGATAGTGAACCATCAGTCCCTGTCGGTACATGGGCTAGACCAAGTCTTCTACCACAACTGAGCTATGGGACCCAAACTCAGCATTGCATAGCCATGGGTTTGGCCTACTGGGAACTGAATCAAAACTAAGGCCAGTGCAAATTGGGAAAAGATTAACTTTTGGGTGTTGCTTTTTCACTTCAATCATCAAGCATGTTTTGAGATGTAGATGAATTTGAAGCCCAACCCAAATTTCCATAATATGGCAATTGGCAGGCAAGCCAAGCCAAGCCCCTTCTTCGGTTGATTCAATGTGCACATTTTTTTTTTCCTGTTTGGGAATTGGGTTGGAAAGAACGAAGATGAAAGACTGAAGTTGGAAGGAAAGGCTCCGGAAGCTCGAATTTTAGCATGTAACTTTACGAGGGATAACAACTATTAGATCAACCGTTAAATTATACCACAACTCTAACACTTTTTTCACGTGTAAAAATAATAGATTTAAATTGGGGAAGATAACCATGTTGGGACGACGAATTTATCATGAAATTTAAAAAAGTTAATGTTACAAATAATTTCTAAATTATAATAAAATGTTTAATGTGATATCTAAATTTTAAAACTTTTGATATAATACTTGAATTATAAATTTATTAATCAATATGATATTTACTTTAAATTAAGTGATTAATTGCAAATGATAACACATGATGAATAAAAATATTTCAAATATCGTATTAATTAATAAATTCATAATTCAAATAATACATTAAATATCATACTAAATATTTTATTATAATTCAAAAACTATTTGTAATATTAACCAAATTTAAAAACTTCATTATATATAAACACAAAAACATATATAGTATATACCTTTACACACATACATATATATATATATACACATATTTTATGTATGAATGTGAACGTGTACACATATTATATATATGCATATATATTTCCGTCAATATTTAAATAAATTAATTTAATTGCTATAAATATGCTTGTGTTTTCAAAGGGGTTTTTTTTTTTTTTTTTTTTAAAGAAAAGATTTGATTAGAAAAAATGGATACTTTTTGTTTGTTTTGAAAAGATGACTTGTCATTTCGTCACCAATAAACAAACGAGTGGAGAAAGTTTTCTGAAACATTGGAGTGAAATGTGGTATGGTTGGTTTGTTTCTTTAGTAGCTCCTAACATTATATGCTTCCAACCTATGCCCTCCTTTTCACTTTCATGATTTATGATAGTGAGCTTTTTTGGCCTTCTTCCCTTTCGGTTGTCACCTTCAATCAAGTTGGCCCTCCTTCACCGACATAAAAAAAAAAGATAAGAATTTGAAGACTAAAAATATCAAATTCGAAACATAATTTAATTAATTCATAAATTATTTTTACAAAATTAAATTTAACAAGTTGAAATTTAAATTTTAATAATTGTAATACCTTCTATTGAATTTATTCTTAAATTATGATTTCCATTGTAGAAAAATTAAAAAAGATTGATTTTTATATTTTAAATTTAAATTTCATTATATATGAATTTTCATTTAATTTTATATTAATTTGTTAATTTATTTAATTTGCTTATCGATTTCTTCTTGAACCTAATAGTTGTGTCGTATTTGTTGAGTAATACTTTATTAGAGATTACAATTATTATTCATACACGTAACCTTTTTAAACAAAATCAATTAAATTATATTTTACAACATTATGAAAGAGTTATGATCTCACGAATTTGATTATATTATCATGAAAATCAATATGGTTCAATTATAGTCATAGAATCTTAATTCATAATAATAAAAAAAATTACTCAAAATACTTTAATTGGGGCAAATATGGTTTTTAATAAAAAAAATTTAAAAATTTTAAATTGAATTTATAATAGTAAATTTAAAAATTAAACTTGGAAAAAAAATTCCATCAATTTTGTCTTACAATGAGGTTGTTACCACGTCATGTTCATGGGATTCAAAATTTTTTTTAACAAGTTTCGTTAGAACTTTCTTGATTATAGATTGAGGTTGGGTTTGGATTTGGCACTTGAACATAAGTTTTGTTCTAACCTTTTTTATTAATAACTTGTTCTTTTCAAAATTAAAGACTCGTCTTACTTTTTTATTTTCTTCTGCCATCGATTTCAATTACTTATTTTGAATTCCAATTACAATGTTTTAACCATGCTTTTCATTTTTCATGGTGGAATGAATTTCTACATCTTATTATTGCTTTCTTTCATGGATAATTTCCTTTTTGTGATTAATAGTGGAATTGATATAAACTTTTTTCAACATCTTAATAAAATAATAAGCAAAAAGAAAGCTAAATGATCATGAAAGAGGGAAAAAAATAAAGGTAAATAGTAAGAATAATTGAA